TGAACTTTCTTCGTGATCAAAAAAAAATCACCATATTCCTCAGCTGATTATTATATTTGACGGGTTGTCTTTTGATCGATCGACTGATATAATTACTATTCCGAATGATGGATATTTTTTAAGGGGCGGTTTATCAAAGTGGAAGTGGAAACTTACCCTCAAGGCGTTCTGATGGCGATGGTTGGAGGTCAGGTCTAGCATGGAACTGGCCCTTAGCTTCTGATTTTGATCCGAACTGATGACTGGCATTGGTTTTGGATCCCCATTTTGGCTGGTATTATCCGGTATGCCCTCATCCTTTGGGGGTTTCGGGCTATTGTGATAGGGATCTGGATTTCCGCACTCGCTGCAGGATATATTCTCCGCCGATCTCGCTGCCCGACTGGCCAACGGTGACGATGAGGACCCACTCGATAAAGATGAGGAGGGTGCCGATGCTGTGGTGCATGTGGAGATCGTTGGCGATGTCGATGACCATGTCTGTGTGGGTAGTGTTATGCTTGTGAGCGTCACTGTAAGCCGACCGATTCCCTCGTCACTAATGGTATTCCAACCGCTGTTGTTGTTGTAACTGCTGGTGTTGTTGTTGTTGTTGTTATTGTTGTTGCTGGGATTGTTGTAAGAGCTTGAGTTTTTGGCATTGGCGTAGAACACCTGGGAAATACTGCGAAATATGGTGCGATAGCCCCTTTTGTTCTCCGCATCGCCGGCCATGATGATTACACTTAAAGTTTAAGCAACAGAAACCGAAAAAAAAAAAGAAATAATCACACACTCGAAATCTGCACACGATTCTTCTCTTTCTCAATTCTCCACTCTTCACTTTACACTCATTGGTTTTATTGTTGCCGTTTTGGTTTTTGTTTCTCTATATATTTGTTTGTTTTATGTGTGGGAGCGTTACACTGAAAAGAAATTGTGTTGGTTTTAGGCAAAAATATCACAGGGCTCTTAACATTTTTATTATGATTTTGAAATATGATTGAGTATTGAATAACAACTCTATTTCTTTTTTTGGGTTGACCTTTAAATTCTAACCATTACCTATCTTTATTTCTTGTCAGCTCAACGATGGTATCATTTTTTCTACGGTGCATTCGAAAGACATGAGCAACACCTTCTACTTGTTATCTTTGTTTTTTGCGGGGGAGTGTTATTTTTTTCTTCTTTCTTGGGGCCCACAAATCAATAATAAAATCGTAACACCCGGGGAAATGTCATAATTACACGAGGCCGAGTGGCTTTGGAATGGGCGGAGGCAAGTACGGAAACTGGGGAACGGAACTATGGCAAATCAGATATCGAAAACTGAGAATTAAAGCACGGGAGACGCGTTCGGGCAGCGGCGGCCAACTAAATCGCTAACTGCTTACCGCCTTCGGGCGCCAGCGTTACCGTACCGCCGACGCCGACTGCGACGGCGACTGCGACTGCGACGTTAGCAGAAGCAACAGCTCGTTGGCGTAATCGCTTTTCTTGCCGCTTTGACTGTTGCTTCTTTTTGCGGACTTTGTTGGTATTTTTATATATATATTTCTTTTTTTTTTGGTTTTTGTTTTGTTTATGGTGCTCTTCTAGGCGCACAGTGGTTGTGGAGCGATTTGTTAGCCAAAGAAATCTATATAAGTCAGCCTATAGTGGAGCTCAACCTATAAAGCTATTTTTTAACAGAGAATATTGCAGAAAAGTGTCTTTGTAAAAAGAGAAAAAAAAGGGGAAGAATTCGTTTTTTGTAGGTTAATTTTTAAGTTGTATTTCCATTTGGAAAACAAACGATTATTTATACCATACCAAGTTTTTTTCTGGAATTAGAATTAATTCAAGCCCATTATTCATTTTTATGGAAATAAATTCCTTCAACTTGTCCCCATTTAGTTCAAAACCTGTTTTAAGATTAGCTATAAAAGTGTCAGATTTAATGTTATTAGCAATTTTGATTTATTGTCTAATAACCCACTGATTCAACAGTGGAATATTGATTTTTAGTTCCCTCGACCACAGTACTCCCATTATGCGTGTTGACTTTTTTTTTGATACCCCCACTACACTACACAATCTCGTCGAGAGCTTTCTTCGCCTAGTCGGCATGCAAATCGAGTAGCAACAATACAGAAATGTGTATTGAAAACCCGAAACCAGATGCCACATGGAGAATGGAGAACAATAGTGACACGAATTGGGGGAAAAATAAAGGCTTATCAATCACGACTTTCACCCGAAAAAAATATGGAAAACAAAATATTTATCCAGCGGAAAGATGATGCAATTCCACTGTGCGTTTAAATGTTTTACACACTTGTCGCGGGCTGTTTATCACTGCCCACCGTTGTGTTGTTGCTTTTATTGCACTGCCTGTTTACGTTGTCGCTTATCTCGTGTGTGTGTGTATGAGGTGTGTGTGCCTTACACACACGCACAGCTGCAGTCAAAATAATAGTTGTGAGCCTTCCAAAAGTGATAATGCAATTGCTTAGGTTTTCGAGCAATTAAGAAATTGTTGATACAAATAGAAAAAAAAAAATTAATAAAAAAAACCGTTGCAATATTTGGCCAACATATAATTATAACAATTTAACCCTTTGTATAACAAGTATACGACAAGTTGTCCTAAAGTCACAACAACGTGCAAAAACAGAAAATCAGTTCACACTTTACTTTAACAATTTATTGTTATTTTTTCCTAAACAAAATAATTATTATAAATTCACTTTTTAAAATTTTTTTTTAAATTTTCGCTTTTAATTTTATTTCTTTGTCTAATTTTTTTTTTATTTAACTTTTTAGAGATTTTAAATAATTTTTGCAAAATATTTATTCTGCTTTAAAATACCTAATATTTTGTCCACAAATGTGCGTTGTTTGCTCTTGATTTTGTATCTCTGCAGACCCAATTACGAGTGCATTACATTACTCACTGGCCAACTGCAACTACAACAGCAATTTCAATTGCTACTGATAGGAGCAACAGCAACACTATTGATATTACCGCCAAAGATGCAACAGAAATTGCAACTGCAACAGCAACACGAAACCAAAATTGCAGCTGCAATCGTCACGTACGCGTAACTTTTAATTAAGTGCATTCGGCACTCGCAATCGCGCATCCACATCAAAATCAACTGGCAAAATCAACAGCAAATTAACGGATTCGAATCCGAAACCGAAACAGAAACCGAAACCGAGGAGCAAAACGAAAGGGACGGCGGTTGACAGGCGACTAAAATGCTAAAATACAAAATACAAACTATGGAGCGACTAACAGACTAACAACTGGCCAAGTGGCACACAAAGCACAAATCACAAAGCGACTGGAAATAAACAGAAAACAAAAAAAAAAAACAGCACAGAAATCAGAAACCAAAAACCGAAAAAACCAAAAACCAAAAACCAAAAACCGAAAAACCAAAGCAAAACAACGGCTGAGCAAAACAATACCGAATGGGAATAGGAATACGGGTACGATAGATATGGAAATAAAATAGATGTAACCGAAAGCTGAAGAAACACCGGCCGCACCTCTGCCGCAGTCGACGCCTCCGTCGCGGTTGACAGCAGCAGAGGCAGAGGCAGAGGCAGAGACAGAGGCGTCGACAGCCCACGCAAACGTCAAACGGAAAGGGAGAGACCCCAAAAAAAGGGGCGGTGTACCGTGGGGAGGGACGGGGAGCAGTGCTTCGACGGCTTGATACCTCCAAAATATTTAAAAAAAAACCTTTTACAAAAACCCCCCTTTTTTTTAAAAGACCTCAACATTTAGTTGTCTTTTTTTCATTTTTTTATAACGTATTTGGGGAATAACATATATTTATATAATTAATAAGTTTATAACATTCATGCTTTGTATTTCACAAAAAGAAATAGTCTTTTTAAAAACCCACTATACAAGATTAAAAAAAAGTATTTAAAACTTGTGTTGCAGGTTTCTTTTTGTTTTTGATTTTAAAAAGCAAAATGACGCTATCCCATTTTCTCTATGGTCCTCAGATACGATAAAATTAGATCTCCTTGATTTCCATAAAAGTTGTTTAACTTATATTTTTTTAACTTTTTAAACTAAATCTTTTTGGTTTTGCATATTGCTAAGTAATAGCAATGCAAATCTCAAGTGCATGCATGCGCAGTCCCTATTTATTTGCAATCGATTCTTGAAAATTGATAAGGCACCTTTCAAGTGATATGAAAACTAATATAAAAACGTCATATTTAGTAATGCAATGGCTTTTCCTAGCCGTGGGTTCGTAAAATGAGTTAATCGTTCTGGGGAATTTTTTTATCAGCGGGCGCTAGTGAGTCACTGGCTCCCCAACTGATATGCCCCACGTGAGTGCTGGGCATATTAAACGCCACACGAATGGCTTTTGAATAATATTTACATTCATTCCACCCAAGGGAGTGTGAGTGAGTGAGTGAGTTGCGTGGCGAAGGCGGCCAAAAGCGAGCGAGTTGCGTTGTTAATGTGCGCAAAACAATGCTGAAGCACCGACGATCAAGAGATGGGGGGATCGTCCCAGCAAAATATAAATGACGAAATTATGCCAGCAACTAGTTATAAACAATGCACATTAAATGCCAGCAGCAAAGACAACAAAAGTGGAAAAGTAGAAGCAACAGCAGCTCAACAGAAATTTACTTTGTATGAAGACTTGAGAAAAAAGTCGGAAAATTGTTTAAAAAATAGTAATATTATAATAAATTCGAATTGAACCAGAAAGGCTGATTTTATGGTCTGAAAAGTACCATTCTGGGTCACCAACTGGGTCACCTTGCTTGAAAAAGTATATTTCTGGGTCACCTTTCTTGAAAATGACATCCCAATAGATAGAAGTCACCAAGTCTCAGCTTTATTTCATATTACCGGTCATAAAAATGTGTAAATCTAAATAGTGCCATAAGTTTATCGGGGGAAAAAAGGGTGACAAATGTACATCAAATTTAAGACAAACATTTTGTAAGATGTGGGCTTTAACTAGGGAAAATTATAGATCCAGTATGGCGGGTTGGTGGAAGTAATGCAAGTAATGGAGGAAATATATGTAATATCCACATGTATGTAAGCAAAAACGCACGAATCAACGAACGACGGCAACGTCAATTGGGCTGCGAAGGTCTTCCAGGCGATTTCCCGATCCTGATCGTTATCCTTATCCTGATCCTTATTCAAATAAGATCATATATAGTTATAGATCCTAGACGGGGCTCTCCAAAGTGCTGGCCGAGGAGGAGGTGCGCAGCTCGCACAGCTCCTGCATGAGATCCCGGAAGAGCATCGGGTTCACATTGACGCTGACCTTCATCATGAGGAACCAATCTCCGATGGTCAGATCCCGCAGGGCGCGCTTCACATGCCGCTTGGCCATGAAGCGCAACTGGCTGCGGATCATCTGCTCCCTCAGATTCCTGCTGCAGATCATCGCCAGCCGACAGAGCAGATTCAGGCCGGACATCAGGGCCATCAGGAGGAACCAGGCCCACAGGAACACGAAGATCTTCTCGTTCAGTATGTTCAGCGGCAGGATGCACAGGTTGTCCATGATATTCGCCGTCCCGCTCGCCCCGAACTTGAGCACCTCGCACTTGGCGATCTTGGGAAAGACGCTCGAGGAGACGCGGTTCCAGCGGTCCCAGTCGTAAAACGGAATGGTGGCCAGGGCGTTCAGGTACTTCGACCAGAAGCCGTTCAGGAAGACCTCCAAGACGATTATGTTCACCACCTGTGAATGAAGGTGGTTTCACATTAGTTAGCCCTTGAATAAATCTCAAATATATCATTAAGACTGATTTACTTCTGATTTACCCAAACTTTTTTGATAACATTTATAGCTTCAAACTAAAAATCTAAAATTAACAAAAATTATAACTTTTATATTACAGCTTTAATTTTAAAACTTTTTCTTCGGATTGATTAATAGATTTTAATTACATTAATTACAATTAGAACTTTATAAATAACATATAAGATTAAAAATATTAGATTCGTTCGTAATCATATTTACATTAAATATTTTACGTTATTAAAAACAAGAATATCACATTCTATAACTTAGAACTTTTATATTATAGCTTTAATTTTAAAACATTTTCTTGGATTGATTAATAGATTTTAATTACATTAATTACAATTAAAATTTTTAAAATAACATTTAAGATCGAAAATATTAGGTTCGTTCTTAATCATATTTACTTTAAATATTTTACGTTATTAAAAACAATAATATCACATTCTAATCAAAGTTTAGAATATTTAAATAAACTATAAATATTAAATGCAAAATTGTTTTATTAAAAGGTAAGAAAAATAGCAATGGATGAATGTTTTTCATAGCAAAATAATATTTGGAAACATGAAATCTTTGGATTGACTACGTTATTTTTTTTATCAGTTTACTTATGTGGTAAAAACCTAACCTACTTTTTTTTTAATTTATCTTATTATTTATAATTTTAATCCACTTAATAAATCATTTTAAAAATGTACCACAAGCACATGGTAAAATTTTCGCTGATTAACGCTTGAATACCCTACTCACACTGATCAAGAAATTGAGGATCTCGCAGGAGACGTACTTGGCCATGTAGCAGAAGTGCATGTCCTCGTAGTCGGTGGTGAAGTACTTCACGAGCAGCCTCAGCCGAGTGTTGTAGGTCTCCTCGGAGAGCAGGGCCTCGCCCACCTCCGAGCAGAGCTGCTTGAGCCGCTGGCCCTCCCACACCTTCCACAGGCAGGAGGGGAAGTAGAAGATGAACGACTGGAAGAGCAGCAGGATGATGACCCACTGGTAGTAGCGCAGGTACTCCCGCTCCGACTGACCCCGAATCTCGGGGCCCACGCCCTCGGCAATCGACATGGCCCTCGCATAGGCCTCGTTGTAGTCCCCCAACCTTCTGAGACTCTGGGATCTGGATCGATATCTGGAGCGGCTCCTCCAAAACGACTGGGTTGTAGAGGTGGATGAGGTGGAGGAGGCTGAAGAGGTTACTCCCTCCTCCTCCTGCTGAACCACTGGCAGCTGGAGCTGCTCCTCGCTGTAGCTGTCCACCTTCAGGATGTAGGTGCCCATGGTCCAGCAGTAGGACTGTATGTACTCGATATGCTTCTCCTCGCCGATGCACTGGATGGGATCCCCGAAATATTGGCGGGCCGAGAGGAGCAGCGAGCAGGTGAGCAGGATGACCACCGTGCACTTGGAGTGGATGGTGAAGACGGCGTCGTAGATGCGAATGGACTTGAATTGCAGATACTTGGAGAGCGGCTTCACCGCCGAATACATTTCTTCTGCCTCCGGGAAGAGTTCCTTGAGGACAGCTTCCAACTCCCTGGCTTTGCGCTCCTAATCTTTGGATTGGTATCCTTTTCGCTTTTCGATTGGATGGTAGCCAGTTCACAGATCAGATCGTCGCTCGGCTTTACATATTTTTTTGTCCGTGCCGTCATAATTACCTACTTTGCTTTTTTCCCCATTTCTCTCTGAGACCGAGACAGTTTCTCAGTTCTCTCCCAACTTTCTGTCACCTGTCAGCACCTCGAAAAGTATTGTAAAAATCTAATATCAACCCGATTACCGATTACTATGCCATTGCCGACTTTTAGGCAGTTAAAAATAATGTAGTCATTAAAATTGTTCATTTATTGGTGCGTGTGATCCATTTCTTAACCTTTATAATATTATTCTCATGATTCAGCCTTGGCTCTCTGGGTCAGCTCATCATCGAATTCGGGGGGCCAAAGCTTCATTTGTCGCCAGTCAGTCCAAGTTCAGGAATCCAATTATCGAGGGTATCTGCAATTAGCCAAAAGGTGCACACAGCTAATTACCATAAATCAAATAAACTTATATTGCCCACTGACGATGACCTTCAAGGTCCAAAAAATATATATCACCCTCTTTTTACGGCAGAAGCAAGAGACAAATAGGGCAAAAATATTGCCCTCATCTAATACAAATCGCGCTTGAAATAATAAGCAGAGGTAAAAGAAGAGGCGACTTGGTAATAATCATTTAAAAATTGTGTGTTTTTTAAGGAACAGATTTATGTTACTTTAGGCAAATAATAATATATAACCTATTGTGATTTTGACCTCGTGGCGTAAACACAAGTAGGCGAAATCCCCAAGCCAATAAAAATAAAAAGCTAATTTGACCAATTGCAACAATCTAGCAATTATTGTCATATTTAAATATAAATTATATATAGCAAGATAGATATAAGATAGCAAGTTCACTGAACTGAACATACCGGTAGCCATAATATAATAATATACCAACTATAAAGTACCTGAAGACGTGACGACTCATGGACATTTTTACCAGTGACCCGTAGAGTATATTGTATTAGTTTGAGCAAAAAAAAATAACAAATTCAAATTTGTACCAAAAACCAAATTCAATACAAAAAAAATAATTCATTTTTTGATCGTAACCATGGAAATATTGATCTAAATATGGATTGTCATACCGTTCTGAACTCGTTATTAAATTTCCTAACGATTGGCATTTTATTTATTTTTAATTTTTCGCAAAAAATCATGGGGCACCCCCTTATAAAAAAATTAAAAATTGGCAAAAATTTTATTTTTCCAAAATCAAACGGAAAGTTTTATGGATCTACTGCAAATTTTGTTATCTGTTCAAAACAGTGTGTATTTTGTGTGTAGGACCATTTTTGGCTAAGTTACAGAAAAAAATCGATGAAGAACATTTTCAAATTTGTTCCTAAAATCAAAATCCTGATTTCCTGATCCCACCCAAACAAAAATAGTATTTTGATCATCAAAATTGAAATTATGATCCAAATAAACTCACAACAAAAGCACCAATCAATCTGCATTTGAACTTGAAAATTTTGCCATATTTTTCAAAAAATTACGATGTCGATTCATTTCGCTAATTGTTGCCCAAACTGTATGCATTTCTGATTTTTTCACATTTTTTTAAAGTGAACTTACTAATTTACATTAATTAATAAATGATTTTTTTTTTTCCTTTTTTCTGTTCATATGATGTAACCCCTTTACAACGCCTTTACGTGTTTAATGACAGGTTGTAGAACTTTATGAGCTTATTTCCGGAAGGTTTAACATTCAATGATCTATGTTTTCCTAAAGCTGGGGTTTGGTGACCCTGATTTCTAAACAAGTTGTACCTTTTCGAATTTAAAAAACTTCTTTTTAATAAGAACACAAAAGAACGACAATAAAATCATTAATTCAGCTTACTTTAAAGCTACCAAATTAAATTTGTAGCAGAAAATCATTGGTGTCTCATCCATTTCCTGGCTGCCAATCCAAAATCAAACAATTCGCGTTAGGCTCCATTGTTAAAGTGTCTAAATACCTGAGCAAGCAAATACTTTGACACCTCCAGCTGCAATCGTAATCGTGAAGCTTCGGCAAAGCAGAAGATGAAAATATAAAAAATAACCATAAACTGGTGTTCCCTGAACTTGACCTCCAATGGCATTCGAAGCGACCGACAAAGAGCCAACAACCACAAACAACGAACAACCAAAAACAACAGCCGCCGACAACAACCACTTGTTGTGGTGAACACGTCACGATCGGTGGTTTGGGCCAAATTGAGCGTTAAGAGCTTCTCGTTTGGCTTCCTTTTTGTAACTCCAATACTTATTAATTTATTTTTTTGGCCCGATGAGTGGGCATATTTATATTGTTGTTTGAATTTAAAATTCAGCAAGAAATATGCGGAAGTTCTGGCAGCAGTTTGTATTTGTTGTTCTTCTCAAAATAAGATTTATGGCATTTATTATTATGGATATTTATAAGTAGAAGGAAGTACTCAGAAAAGGTGAATCATTTTCTAAAAATATTTTGTTAAGAAAATCTATCATAATTGTTATAATACTCACAACACCTCTGTTAGAATATTTTCTAAAAATTGTATCCTATGTTCCCTAAGATGACAACCAGTGTTTTTTGAGTATCTAGAGAAAATAAAAATTCTAAAATTAACAGCTCTTCAAGCTCGACTCTCAGTTGCCACTGTTTGTGATTTTGTTTCTGATTCTGACTTGTCGTTTTCGGACCTGCGATTCCCACTCCCTTCAACATCGCCGTTCCGCAACGTTGAGCGCAGTAATAATTAAGATACTGGAGCGCAAAAGGCAGAGATACGGCGAGATACTCGTACTCGAGGTAAAGAGCTGGCTAGAAATCGACTGTCATCATATATTCCTTAGCTAGCTGGCTAGCTATATGTATTTGTATCTCTGTATCTGTATCTGTATCTCTTGGCCGCAAAAAACAATTGTTTATTATTTACGAGAATGGCAGGAGGCGGTCGCCTCAGGCCCCATATCTCAATGTCCCCTTCTGCATATGAACAGCATTAATTTCGTGGGCCTGGTCAAGCCAAGTTTAGGTAAATGCACTGAAACTAGTTATATATTTTATAAAGAAACATTTACAATTTTTTAAAAATAAATCATAAATAAATAAATAGTAATTACATTCTATTATATGCAAAATATTTCATATGAACACCATTATATAAAGAGTTTCTATATCTTAATTATTTTTATCCCAAGTCATCTTCTTTCTTTCAGTGTTCGATGGATTGCAACATTTTACCAGGTGTTTTTGGCCAAAATTTGTGGTGCCCAATTTGGCAGAAGGAAAGTGAAAGATCTTGGATAAACTCTATACTTAATTGGAATGCTGACATGATCAGACATCAGCGGTGGCTAATTAAGCTCAAGAAATAGAGCCCCTCTAAATATGCACAAGATATCTAGGGCTCTTAAATTGTTTATTATTATTATTTCTTTTGGGGCTTCATTCACAGAACAGTTCAACCTTCATTCGCTGAACGCTAATAAAGCTAATTGTGTGGATAAAAAAACTAATTTAGATTAACAGATGCTGCTAATTGCAAGCACACTTTTTTTGATCAATCAATCTTAACATAAAAAATATTCTTTTAGCCTTAAGTTTTTCGGCTAGCTTAAATTTGGGCCAAGTGCTCAACCTTTCCAAAACTGAAATCTGGCTCAAAAGTTCCCCTCAAGGTTCGCTTTTCGGGGAGTGAGAGGTGAACTCACCTTGACTGACCTTTGATTCACCAAATGCATTCCCAGTTCGCTCACACCACTTGATACATATTCACTCGTATTTGGATTTATAATTATATAGGCCTGATCAATTAGCAAACGACTGGCGATGTTGTAACCACAAATAAATGTAAAGCTCCAATAGAAAAAAAAACCCTTTGCCAACTGGTTTGTATTTTATTCTACTTCCGCGCAACCGAAATTGATTTCTTTACCATCGATTCTCTTTTTAAAATAAAACATATGGCCCCAAAGCCTTGACCGTGCCCCACAAGCTCGATTTTGGAAATAGCCTCTCGGCGAATTAGCGAGCCCACAGATCAATGCTAACTTCATCTTCTTTGGATGCTCTGCATGTGGTGATTAGCGAATTTCCGCTAAAATATAACTATAAACGAGAGGTGAGTGGGGATGGGGTAGAAGGGGGAGTACCCTGGAAATTGGTAGTCGTAGGTAATGGGTATTTTCTTTATACTAAGTTGATTATTTAATTAATTTTCTAATAGTGTTTGACATTTGACATATAAATTATCCCTTGAAAAAATTATTTCAGTACCATAGAAATTATATAATCCTTTCCCATTTGCTTAAGATATTTAAAATATAAATTTATTTTCTATATTTAGTTGATTATTTTATTAGGCTTCTAAGATCCATTTAGATGCATAAATAAAAATTACCCTAAAAAGATTTGTTTACTTGGCATTATAAATAAAAAAGGTTTTGTAAACAATCTAATTTTTCACGTGAAAGCGAAGCACCCGAGAATATTTAGTTTTGCAGTAAATAATTGCTAATATCAAGTTTACCCAAGTACTCTAGTTCTAAATAAATATTTATGGGTTAAGAATTTAAATGTTCTAATTTCTATTGATTCGAAGAACCCCTTTCCATATATCTCCTCACCTTGGTGATAATATCATCCTCTGGTTGCTCTTGGGGCGGTGCCATTGTTGCTCCTCCTTGGTTTATGGGGCTCTTTATCAGAAGACTCTAGTTACAAACGATTATGATCTGCACCAATAGTCCATAGATTGTCATTTCTTCTGCGTGAAAAACTCGTGAACTCAAACAACAAAAAAACAAAAAAAAAAGGGGGGATATAAAATGCTGTTTGTAGGTTCGCGCTTGATCTAACAATGAATGCTAAGTGGCTTTCAGTGAACCGCCTCGTCTGACACTCCGTTTGCAACTGAGTTCGGCTCACAATATCGATACCAAGTCGGCAAAAGCAAAAGCTGAGAAACGCGCGCAAAACGCGGGGCTTATGGCCAAGAAACTGGTTATGGTTCTGGGTTCTGGGTACTGGGTTCTCTATGGTTCTCGAGACTCTTCGGGCCTTCGGGTTTTCCCTCGCTCGCAGAAGAATCAGAATCAGTAGAAGAATTGGAACCAAACCCACCTGGCTCTGTTGTGACGTCAGGTGAACTTGCCGCTTGAACTTTAAGTTGAAGGTCGCTGAGTCAGCTGAGAAATGGCAATCGCGGCCAAATGGAAAATGGAAATCATATACGATGCAGTCATAATAATCGAAAAAGATAGATGATATATGTATAGAGATACGCGTACGCACATGCAACCGACTTAAGTCGCCCTTGAAACGCTGACAAACCGCTCGAAATGCTTTTTCACTTTTATTGTGTTTTTTTTTTCTCGCTGCTGCACTTTGGCGAGCGTATTAGTTAGTTGATATTGCAACGAGGAGACACGTCGGTCTGGTTATGCCATAAAAAACTAATTCTTTTTATATCGCCTATCAAAGCAAACGCAATTAAGAACCAATAAAAAGCTGGGCTCAAGCGAAATTACATTAACGCCAGATCAAAAGGGCTAACTAGAGGTTTACTACAAGTAAAAATTTATTTTAAAAAAAATTGCGGAAAAATAGAACCCCTTAATCTTTAGGAAATTTTAAAAATAACATCATGACTTTTAATTTACCTAAGATAAAAATTAGGTGCTTCTAATGTATTCCGTTTTGGGATTTAGATAGTACTATTCCTAAACCAATCATAAATTTATATCATAAAATTAATTATTTTTTACTGTATGATGTAATTTATATCTTATGATATTTTATCTTTAACTATGTATGTTATTTATATTATTAAATTATCTGTGACTCTAAAAAGTAGAGTATTTTATTAGTATAATCCGATTCGAAACGTTTTCCAAGTGGACGGTTAACGACTGCCCCAAACAGCGTCTACTTGCCACCAAGCTTTGCGTTGACAATTTGCCAAGTTCTGCTGCGCCTACACTTGAATCTACACTGGGAGAAAAAAAATCAAGATTATAAAATCTTAATTTGAGCATGTGAGTGGAAAGGTTCTTGAAATCAAGACGAATAAATACTCGCTATTTTTTTTGAGACAAATAAAGTTTTGAGAAAAAAGGTTCTTGAAATCAAGTACTCTAAAAATATTTTTTTAAAACGAATATAGTTTTGAATGGTTTTGAAAACGGTTTTTTTTTCCAGGTGTAGACTCTATGCGTTTAGACTCTAAACTTTAGAGTCTTGAGTTTCTTGAGTAGTGGGTCTTGACGAAGTCTGATGTTTCTAGTGCACGAGCGTTTTAAGTTCAATGCAAACACGAATGGTGACCAAATTGGGAGGAGGAGTCACAACTAACTCCGACTAACCGGACCGAGAAAACCAACTTGCCGGCTTGGGCATTCAGAGTCACAGTCATAGTCCAATAATTATCAAATGTAAGCTGAGCGTAATTAAAAGCCAATCGTTCCAAGGTTACCACCAGTCATATGCCTTATAAATATTGAATTTGTATCTTTGATTAAACATTTGGGACTCCGAAGGCGGCCCCAGCAACCGCTGAAAGTGCTCAACTTAAATTTTATAAATAATAAATCTGAGGAAACGCCTCTTTGATGGCTGACAGGTTCAAGCCAACTGAGAATTAGAATTGCTTAGCGCTCGACTTTGATGGCTTTAATGCTGCAATTGGCCTTAAAGATATGTTCGCGAAGGATTAGAAGGTAACTAATGGTAGGCAGCTGGAAAAACTGGATGATAGAGACTTATACTACAAATAATAATTAATAATTAACAAGCATGGCCCATCGAAAACTCAGTTGCCGTCCACTTCCTTCCACATTTCGTTTACTTAGCAAGGGAATTAATCGACATTTAGATTATTACAAGATAGAATTATGTACAAAACATAAGATAAGCGCTACACAAAGGGGGCTACGGAAAGGTATATGGCCGGATCATGCCAGAGAGTCTTTAATGCAAAGTATAAAAAAAATTCAATTACATCTAGGTTTGAGCCGTGCGAGGAGGAGCTGCCGAGGCAGGAGGACTTGGGATCACCTGACCAACTGACTAACTGATCTCGTACTGATACGCATCGTCTGAATCCTCGCCGCTGGACAAGTCCCGTTTGCGTCGCCGCTGCTCCCGCTTCGAAAGCTTCTTGGCGGCCGGCGCCGCTTCCGCTAGGGGCTCCTCCTCCGCCTCCGCCTCCGGCAGCACCTCCTCCTCCACCTCATCCTGCTCGTTGGCCTCCTCCTCGGCCCGCTTCTGTGTCTTGACCAGCTCGCAGAGATACTTGTAGCGCACCAGGCACTCCTCCTTGCTCTTCTCCGGCACACTGTTGGCGATCTTCTGCCAACGATCGCCGCCGGCGGTCTTCCGGTACTTGACAATCGCCGCCTCCAGGGCGCGCTGCTGCTCCTGCGTCCAGTTGGTCTCCGGTATGAGCATGCTCTTCTCTGCGGGAGCGCCGGCCGAAGCGGCAGGAGCTGCCGCCGCCGTAGAAGCCGACTTCTTGACCTTCTCCTTGCGCTGCGCCTGCTGGGACTCCTGGACGAGATTCTCGGCCACGCTGTCCGTTTGGCCGGGAATGCGGTAGCCGTTCTCCTTCATCTTGGCCGCCATGAAGGTGACCTCCTGAACGCTGCGATTCATCGATTCGGCAATGGTGTTCCAGCGACTGCCCGCCCCGCCTGGGTACTTCTTCACCAGTCGAATCAGCTCGGTGAGATCCTCGTCAGTCCAGAAGCCGCCGCTCACGGTGCTCTGCAAGGGATTATGGATTAGTTTGAGCTCTGAGCTTTGTATATTAGATGGTACCTTCTGGGAAGCTGGACGAACTGCATCGTCATCGGTCATTTCACGCGCCTGAATCTGCGAGTAGCCGCGCAACTCCTCCTCGGTCTTCTCGGGCGCCTTGCTGTTCTGCTTGCGCTTGCGTAGGTTCTCCTTGTGCTCCTTGCGCAGGCGCGCCTGCTCCTCGGCCTCGCGCTCCAGTTCCTCCTGGCGACGGGCGGCCTCCAGTTCCCTGCGGTTGCAAAGAAGATTAATTGGATATTCGGTACAGCAATAGATTATACTATATGATTTTTAATCGCATTTTTCGCCACCTTATCTGAAGGCGTGTCAAAATACAAAGTGCTGCGGTTAATTTGATTGTCTGGCTTTCTCCAGAAACTATATATATATTATTGTGGTTGATTTCTGATTAAATGCTGCCAGTCATGGGAAAGTGCAACCAAAAACTGTGTTGGCATGATGACTTATCTATTTCTCCTTTTGTTTCTTCATTGAATTTATTTTCTGTATTATATATGTAGTTTGGAGAATTGTGGAAATTACACTAAACAAGTAATATTGCTTACAAAAATAAGAGAGATAAGAGAGATAACTTGGAACGGATGTGAGTAACACAAAACAATATTGTAATAGTATGGTGAGGAAACTGTGATATGATAATATTAGAACCTATAATCAGAGGGAACTACAAAAATTCCTATAAAGTAAGGTCTTATTATGTTATATTTTATAAAAAAAACTATAAAAGTAATCTCTTTCTTCTTTAAATCTGATGAAATATCAAACAATATTGCAATAATACGGTATGATATGATAGTATAAAGACTAAACTACGACAATCCTTTTAAAGTAAGGCCTCATGTTGTTATATTTGAAATAAAACCTATACAAATAATCTGTTTTCTTCTTTAAATCTGATGGAATATAATATAATATGGTGCGGAAACTATGATATAGTAAAATAAAGACTATAATCTGAGGGAATTATAAAATCCCTATAAAGTAAGGCCTTTTTCTGTTATATTGTAAGTAAAATCTATACAAATAATCACATTTCTACTTCAAATCTGATAAAATATCAAACAATATTCTAATAATATGGAATGATATGATAAAATAGAGACTATAATCTGAGGGAACTACTAAAATCCGCAGAAGATATAGCAGTATTTCTGAATAATACTGTTCTTATATTAGTCAATAGGTTGTTCCAAAGGGACACTTGGGATCCCAAGGATCAGAGTAAACCACTTACTGCCTGCGCTTCTCCAGCGCCAGTTCCTTGAGCTCGTTGGCCTTGCTGAAGCCGTTCTTGATCGTTCGCGGCAGGTTCCACAGCGCCAGCGGGATCTGGATGGGCAGGGTGTTCAGGAGCGAGGGCATGGGTATCTCGCTGAGGATCACATCCATGTCGATGTTCTTGTTCTTCTTCTGCAGCTTCTTCAGCTTGGTGCCGAACACCTGCTCGGCGGTGTACTTCTTCTCGAGATAGGCGGCCCAGGCGAACAGATACTGGCCCACGGTGGTGATCAGGAAGAGGATGAAGGCGCCCTCGTAGAGCCCGATCTTCCGCATGCGGCGGTAGTAGTAGAGCGCCGATTTCCAATTGGGCATGCCCTCCTTGAGCACCCGGTCGTACTTCTCCCGCCGCGAAGGATCCTTGAGCACCTCGTAGATGGAAACCAGGTTGCGGAACTGGATGTTGGCGTCCTCGGCGGCATTCTTGTCCGGATGCAGAACGATGGAGAGGGTGCGAAAGGCGCGCTTCACCTCGGCGCCCGTGGCCGTTTGGTTGATGCCCATGAACTCGTAGAAGTTGCGGTTCACCTCCTCGACCAAATCGAAGATCTCCAGCTCCTCCGAGTGCCAGGCGCGGGCACCGCCCAGGGCGCCCAGCAGCAGCAGCAGCAGCATGCAGAGGCTGTCCAGTCGCGTCATCGAGATCCTGTCGAGAATCCAATTCCAAATCCAAATTTAATGCGGCAGACACGCACGCACCACACGAACACACACGCACACAAACGTCAGCAGCCCGAGTTTACAAGTTGGTATTTTTAGGTACATCGAGGGTATATATACCGAAAGTGTTTTTGAGTTTGGTCATGCTGGGTCTGTGTCCTTGCTAAGTTAGCCGAGGCACATTTTAAAATTCGTTTTTATATCGATTTAAGCAATGATTTTTAATGAGAGAAACAATTTTTAACAGAATCGACTACAAATTTTCATTGGGATTTAACAAAAGTAAATAAGCGAATATATAAATTTAAAGTAAAATTTAAGTCAATTAAACCAGTGAATTATAAGTCTAAGTTCGAAATCGAAGTTTTTTTTAGGTCTTACTTATTTTATTTTTAATTTTTTTTTACAAAAAGTATAATCCTGAGGAAGGTGTACTCGCTAAGTTAGCCGATGCACATTTTAGCGAGACCATTTACATATACCTATATCAAATACCAAAATTTATCGATAGGTTGGCTATTTATTCATTCTCATAGGAATTTCTCGTTTCTTACAAAGAATTGGGAATAATTCAAGCGTCGAAGGCGACAATGAAGCTGCTCCATTTGCTGTGGCTGCTGAGCGGCCTGCTCCTGGTGGCCGGCCAGCAGAACAAGGACCCCGCGGCGGCGACCGTGCCGGCGGGCAACGCCACTGCCACTGTTGCACTGGCTCCAGGATCGAAATCTTCAGGATCGGAATCTCCAGGATCGAAATCTCCAGGATCGGGATCAGGATCACCGGTTGCTACGGTTGCTCCGCTGGCGGACAAAAAGGACAACCATACCAGCACGGCGGAGGCTCCGGGCAAGAAAAGGAACCGCACGGACACGGGTTTGCCTTCGTCCTCCGCACCAGTGGCCACTTCCTCCTCCTCCGCCGCCACGTCTTCTTCTTCTACCACGACCACCACCACCAGCACCACCACCAGTACCACCACCACTACTGCCAAGCCAGCTGTGGGATCACCCATAGTCACCGAAGGCCAGTCGCTGAAGGATGTCACCAGGACTTCCTCCTCCTCTTCCTCCTCCAGCACCACCACCACCACTTCAACTACTACCACCACAACCACCACCACACCGAAGCCCATGAAACCGGCGGTGGTCAAGAGCACGGAGGTTGACAAGCAGGAGCTGGAGAAGAGCCCCGAGAAGAACGGCACACAGGAGCTGCCCGCCATTGCTGCGCCACCGGAGCCCATTGTGCAGGGCCTGACCGGGAGCAGCAATCTGGCCGATCGCGGCGACAACGGCTATGTGGTGCCCATTGTCACCGTGCTGCTGACCGTGCCGCTGGCCATCGGCGTGGTGACCATCATGTACCGACGCTTCCGCGACATGTGGAGCACCAGGCACTACCGCCGCATGGACTTCCTCGTGGACGGCATGTACAACGACTGACGAAGGCGGGCGAAGACCTCCTCCACCTCCAGCGCCCTGGGATGATGATGATGATGATGATGATTATTAGTTGTTTAAGAAGGGATTCGCTTGCATTCAATGCAAGATCGATCCGCATATGATGATATTGCTCAGTCAATTAGGAGGAGGAGAATAGGGGATTATTCGCTAGCCTTCCGAGCGGCCAAATTGAATTTAAACCAACTGATTTTCTACGCTAAATTCGAGCGGGCTTTTACGTTTAAGCATTTTGGATCTATTACCAAGCATTTGTTACCAATCAAATTGATACCGACACCTATATATTAATATATATGTATCCTGTATATCCTATCTACTTAAGACTCTGTACACCAGTTCGCTGTATATTGGAATCGGACATCAGACGAAGCAAAAGCAACCTCAGAGAAAAGCATCATCAGCGCAATTAGCAATCACACCCATTGAATCCACAATCTAGCCGTAATGTGCCTTACGAACCAGCTCTATATATAATATACTATATATGATATACCTTTACACACGATATTCAAATATTCAGATATTCTCCATCTCCGAAGCTAGCGAGATGCATAGTTCTCCGCATTTACTTTGCGCAACACACACAAGTAACGCAACACTCACTCAAGAAAAGCAGCAGAAACCAAAAATCACAAGCAATCGGCCTGAAACAAGCAACATTTATTGCATTACGATATATATATATAGTGTATACACATATATTTCTTGTTGTTATCAACGTAACAATTTCAATAAAGCGAAAGGCAGTCAAATTGAATTTTAAACAGCCTTGGGGAGTACTTATATATGTATACATTTTTCTCCAGAAAAGTTAAGCACAAATTGCTGATTCAACATATTATATTTGACTCGTAATCTTTGCCAGCCATGCAAATTGCATCGACTTCTTGGGAATTTCTGCCCGTTGATTATAATATTTCTGCATCCGACTTTGTTGTTTTATTTTGTTTTCTACGTCTCAATAGTATTTAGACATTTGAAATGGAATACCATATATAATTAATATCTATATTCCATTTGAAATGACTCAATATTATAGGAAATTTCATTATATGACATTATTTGTTATATTGTTATTGCCATTATTATTATTATCATCATAAATATATATCACAAATCGGTGTGAGAAAAGTATAAACAAAGGATTAGGTTTTAGTATCATAAAGGAAAGGGGTCGCTTCCCAGAAATTGCAAAAAATATTTATGTGAATAATATAAATATTAGGTATTATTTTCCAAGAAACAAATAAAAACAAATTCGACTTCGGTAGAAATAGATATTATTTAATTACCTAGCGATTTATATCACTAGGGAATCTCAAACATATTCGGAAAACCATTTCCAAATATTTGGTAAAAAAAAGCTCCATAATTTATTGTTTATTTAAATTGGTTGCCGTAAATCTTGTGGTTAACCCATTAATGTCATCATTTATGCTTTATGTGCCCAATCCCAGGAGCCCCAATCCCTAGGTGTTTTTTCAGAGGCCCCATTGTTGTCCGTCTTTTGCTGGAATTCTGACCTTTGGCGATAATAGATCACCAGCGCCTGCTCCTCGCGTCTTGATTTAGACAAATGAGGAACGAGGAGTCTCTCTTTATATGCAGAGGCACCCACCTCCCCACAGGCATCCCATCCGAAAACAAGAATGCTCCCAATGAAGTGGTTTATAAATGATCTCCATCTGCGAAGTTGTTCGTAGCTCGTTTCAATAATTTAAACAAAAAGAACTAAATTACCAACAAAACGATCCATTCGGGGTGCGTGTGCCTGTGTGTGTTTGTGCCTTGCTTGAAGGGAAATTCGGAAAAGCGAGAAAATCGCTCGGCCACGAGAATGTGTGAAATGAGCCAAGCGATTGCCGCTGCCGCTGTTTTCACCTCTGTCTAGGATACAGTTAATAATACCCATTAAACTATTGGATCTAGGGTATGTGCTGCTTTTTTAATTTACAATGAATATTTTATAGGTTTAGAAAGTAACCACAAAAGAAGCTAAAGATATTTAACAAAATATAAATATAAAAATATTAAATGTTAGAGCATAATAGAATTGTAATATTGGGGAAACTTTGGTTATAATTTATTACTTCATTATTTATTGATTTAAATATTTTAGTCAGTTAAGAACACCGAAATATTTTTTTTTTATATGAATTTAAGAATTTTCTTTGAGAAAGAGAATAATAATAATAGTAATAAAATCCAACTCTACGTATGAGTAATAAATATTTGCATGAATTTTCAAAAAAAGTATGGTCTTTGTAGACTCTCAGGAATAGAAATCTTAAGTTTACATAGTATATCCATGGTATATGGTATCTCCTAGTCGAAACATTGAGCAATATGTACAATAGTTTGATATTTCCTGTCTTTGGCTCTGCGTTTGGCGTTCTTGATTCTTGGCGTGCTCATTTGGAAACGTGTGCTGGACGCGTGCAGTTCTCGATCGATTCCGAATCAGTTTCCGTTGGATTAGCCGTGGATTTGTAATCGGTTCGATTTGATTCGATTCCTCGCGAACGCCTCTCCTTCCCTTCGAAATGCATCCTGCCTCGCCGCATCAGCATCGCGCCCGCCTGAACATCGGATCGCCGGGATCGGGTGGAATCCAGGCCTCCTCCTCGACGGAGACCTTCCCGCTCACTCCGCAGCCTCACCAGTCCTCGCAGCATGCGGTCCACATACCGCCGTCCACATCGCTGCCCTATCAGGGACTCAAGACCTGTAAGATATAGGGGTTCTGAAGTTAGAATTAAAGTGCCAATGGGATATTTAGCTTAAAAAATATTTTTAAAAATGGAAACGGTTTGGAAGTGACTGAAAATGTTTACGAATTCTTAGCCCTTTCTTAAGCGATGCTTTTTTTTAATTTAATATTATTCGTGGGATTTAAATAATAATTCAAATTAATTATAATATAATTTGTAATTTGACTAAAAATATATAAGAATTCTTAGCCCTTTCTTAAGCGAGGTTTTTTTTAAATTAATATTATTCGTGGGATTTAAATAGCAATTCGAATTAATTATTACATGATGTCTTGGGTAAGATATTAATATTAGTTAATTATTCTAATCAGATAAATAATATAGATATAAAGTAATGTTATTGAAGTTTAAATTATACAAGAAAATATTCAACTTCATTTAATCAAGTAATAAGATAATTAGGATCTACTACTGTTGACTTGGGAAAACATAAAATATTTTCTAACAACATAAAAATAAATCACATATGTATTCGGGGCAACAGTTCCTTGATTTCTGGACCGGATCTCCAGATGCACATAGCCAAATTATTCGCTTGGCGCTTTTGTTTAGCTCATAAAAATACACGCACATTGACTGGCAGATACAAATAGTTTTTCACATGATACCACACACAATGACCTCACAAAGCTCTAGTGCCCCGAGAATAATTCATAATTCATAAATCGGGCAAATGTGCGATTAATGCGATATAAAATACAGAATCATAATGAAGACGCGAGGTGAGGCGATCGGGTAATTTCATTGAGCAAAACCAAAGAGATGAATCTGCGCTGGTTCGGCCCACATATTCCCATCGAATCGTATCGCATCGCATCGCAACGATCCATCGATCGACCACCTATGAAGTATGCAATATAAACTGTGCGCCGACATATGAAAATAAATAGAGATTATAGAACGCACCGGTACGTAATCGTACGTATCGCCGTGATATAAATCGCATTGTCGAAACTCGAAAGATAAACAGAGCTGCGGAATACTCAACACCCAGCCGTGGACGTAAACATGGCCACCTCTGGAAATAAATACATGGTTCCAGAGAGCCAAACAAAAAACAAAAATAAGGAAGAAAGCCAAACAGAAATCAGAGATCATATTCACAAACACAGGCCGCGTGCTGAACTCATAAACAAAAATCCCCAAAACACCATGTACATAGTTAGTCAAGCATAAAAAGTGCTCGGACCAACCGATCCAAGGCAACCATTCGTGGATATTTATGGAATTTATGGCATTTGTACTAGATCAAAAGCAATTTGTACAAGTTAATTGCCCCGAAACAGAAGCGTGGAAAATGCTGGTGCAATTGAAACACCGAAGACCACTTTTCATAATAAATAAATAAACAAAGAAGAGTATTTGAGAAAGGATAATAAAAGAAGTAATTTGGAAAATAAATCAGTAGGTCAGTCTGAAGATGGGACCTAAGCTCTTCATAAACCAAACGAAATAGTAAACCTCTTTAAAATGTTTTAAAAAGTACGCGAATTCTTTAGGATATGTTAAAAATGAGTGAGAGGTAAAGGAGAATCTAGGCGATAGCCTTTAAATTCTAATTACTATTCAAATTTAAACCGCGAATTCTTTAGGATTTGTTAAAAATGATTGAGAGGTTGAGGGGAAACTATGGAATATACTTTAAAATACTCCCAATCAAATTTAAACCGCGAATTCTTTAGGATATGGCAAAAAGGAATTTGAGCTTGAGGGCCCTTAAAATATTCCTTTTTAAAATTCTTCGAATTCTTCCGGATTTGTTAAAAATGATTGAGAGGAAAAGGGGAAACTATGGGATATACTTTAAAATATTCCCAATTAAATAGTTAAACCGCGAATTCTTCAGGACATGGCAAAAATAAATGAGAGCTATTCCTAATCAAATATTTAACCCTCTTTTTCGACAGCCGAAAACGATGACATGGGCTGCGTGGAGATCCTGGCCACGGTGGTCTCCGTGCTGATCATGGTGCTCACCTTTCCCATCTCGGTGTTCATCTGCTTCAAGGTGGTGTCCGAGTACGAGCGGGCAGTGATCTTCCGCATGGGTCGCCTGCGCAGCGGCGGAGCCCGTGGCCCCGGAGTCTTCTTTGTGCTGCCCTGCGTGGACGACTACTATCCGGTGGACCTGCGAACCGTTTCGTTCGATGTGCCGCCGCAGGAGGTGCTCTCGAAGGACTCGGTTACGGTCACCGTGGACGCGGTGGTCTACTATCGCATCAGTGATCCCCTGAAGGCGGTCATCCAGGTGTACAACTACAGTCATTCGACGAGTCTCCTGGCGGCCACCACGCTGCGCAATGTGCTGGGCACACGGAATCTCTCCGAGCTGCTAACCGAACGCGAAACCATCTCGCACACCATGCAGATGTCCCTGGACGAGGCCACCGATCCCTGGGGCGTTAAGGTGGAGCGTGTGGAGATGTGAGTGCTCACTCGTGGTAGAGAAGCCTTTATCCCATGATCTCTCTTGCAGCAAGGACGTCTCGTTGCCAACTGCCCTCCAGCGGGCGATGGCCGCCGAGGCGGAGGCGGCGCGGGAGGCGCGGGCCAAGGTGATTGCCGCCGAGGGCGAGATGAAGTCGTCGAGAGCGCTGCGCGAAGCCTCCGAGATCATCTCGGCCAGTCCTTCCGCCTTGCAGGTGAGTTTTTAGTGGATTAACCTGTAATTAATATAAATAATAAATATTATTCCCATTTAATATCACTTCAGTTGCGTTACCTGCAAACCCTGAGCAGCATTTCCACCGAGAAGAACTCGACCATTATCTTTCCGCTGCCCATGGAGCTGCTCACGCCCTTCCTGAACACCCACGCCTACTCGCAGCAGCAGCAACACCAGCAGCAGCAGCAGCAACATCAGCAGCAACACCAGCAACATCAGCAACATCCTCCTGCTCCGGCCACGCCGCTCCATCGGCACCAGCATCAGCACCACCAGTGACGCTCGATGTCGGTGCTGCAGCCATATTTGGAGGCACTGCATCGCTGCGAGCTGCGGCGACAGCAGGAGCAGCGTCGGTCTGCAGATGATGACGACATCGTTGGCATCTTGCTGTAGTTGAGCGACGACGACGGCAGCAGCAGCGGCAGACAGCCGGGAAATGCCCGGAAAATGTGTAACCATAGGAATTTCCTTTTGGTTCTTGAATAATCCTTCTAAATGTAAAATATCTGCTGATATTCCATGCTTCAGCCTCCCAAGGAAGCCATGATTTCGTGTTTTTTTTTGTCCTTTATAAATCTATAAAAAATAAAATAATAATAAGATATGTTAATTTTAAAATAACCAATATTAAAATGTATTTTTGTTGTATGTTAAGATCTAAATTGCCAACTCATTTAATAGACAATTGGACCAAATAAAAACATTTAATATATCAAAAAGAAATATTCGTTTTTCGGTTTTTCCCCTTATTAAAAATTCCAAGCTTATCTAAATGGCACAAACGCCTCAGATTTGCATAGTGCTCATATGAAAGTGAAAGATAAGTACTTAAGAGTCGTCTGAGTCACTCGATTCAATCGGTTAACCTTTTGACTCGTGAGCAAAAAGAACGTCTTTATTCGCTGGCCCAGAGATTACAAATTGATTAAGAGTTGAATATTCTTTTCTTCGCACTGATAAGAAAAGCTCTCATCGATCGATGGCCGGAATAGTCGGGTTTTCTTTCAGATCAAAAGTGAATCATCGCTTGATTTACAAAGCCAGTCTCAATGGGGGGTTCTTTTGGTTTTCCCCTAGATTAAATTACACTGAATAATTAAGTGTGTTACTTAAATTAAATTAAATTGTAATATTATATTGAAAGATCATTTTCGGTTTACAAGTGCTAGATTAAAGATTATTCTTTAAATATGTTTAGTATAATAAAATAATAAAGTCAAAGATAACTTAAAATCGCAATACATATAAGTTCAATTAATTATAACAATAAAATAAAATAATAATATAAAAATAATAATAATAAAAGCATAAAAAACTGTATAACTATAAAAACAAAAAATATAACAGTAATTAGAAAACTACAAAATACTTAAATAATAAATTAAATTTAATTAAATAATATAAAAAATAATGATGAAGGTGGAGTACCTTAGAAATAGAATCTTTCTGGATTTATTGGCGATTTTTTTTCTCAATGTGAAATCGCTTTTGAGCCGCTCGGAAGCTCAGCGGGGCGATAAAGCCAATGCGATATTTCGTATCTGAGCGAACTGGCCGCTCTTCTTATCACGTGTGCTGAATGCTTTTGGACATTCGGTTCGGTTCGGCGGCACTGCCCGCCACAGTTCGGAGTGCATAGCTGACCGGAGTGGAACCACAGAGAAGATCCAGAATCCAGATGGCTGAGCCGCAGTACGCCAACTACGAGGACATGCGAAACTCCGGTCCGACCAGCTCCACGGCCTACATGGTCAACATGGGTGCCGGTGGAATGGCGCCGGAGGAACCTGCCCGGGTTCCCGGAACAGCTCAGCAGTACCGCGGCTTCAAGACGTGTAAGACTGAAAAATATAGGATACATAATATATATTAATACATTCATGTAGCTAAAAGGTTCTTTGATTTTTTTTTATATTTCTCCTCGCGTTGGACTTTATTTACTTTAAAACTTTAATCACCTCAAATCGATTGATAAGAGATACTCGTTTTAGCTCGATAATTTCTTGGAATCGCTGTTTTCGATTAGATTACGGTTTGAAATTGATCGCGTGAGAAGTTTTCTTCATTCCGGTGGCTTTACAAATTGCATCCACGAATGTTTCAGACATGCAAAATCGTAAATCAATAAACCTGAGCAACCTAAATATATTATTATAATTATTACCAGATAGGAGATCTATGAATATAAATTTATCATGCCCGATATGCTGTTTTTATCGCATTTTTTTTTTACAGAATAGCCATTTAGACCTTATCGTTATCCCACTTTATCCTCATTAATTCCTAACACCTAACAGTTTGTAGCTTTTATTGAGGCATAGCCTTATATCAACCAAATTGAATTCAATTTTTAATCAGAGGAATTTATACCTGTTGATTTCGTAGATAAGAAATTGCTTATTTATCCGGCATGAATTTATTAGCATTTATCCGGTTCTTTTTCTGTTTTTAAATGATTTCTTTGTTTGCGCCTATCTTTATACCTCTGTTTACAGCTTTCACTTAATTGGTTAAATGTTTACCCTTTGTTACAAAAAAAAAACAATTTAGTATTATAATTTTAAAGTGTTTACTAGGGTATTGCTCAATGAAATATAGATTAGCTTTACTCAAGTAGCTTTGACTTCCCGGAATTGCGAAATTGGAAAGTACTTGAGCCTCCACTTGGTAAACCGGAGGAAGTGGCCCTATCTTAGGTCTCCTTGTGGCATAATATATATATAATAAATTAAGAAACTTACTAAAGCGACGGCGCCACCTAGCGGAAGGCATCGGAACCGCTGATCATGAAGATTATTTCACCACATTCGTATGTTTTATGTTTTGCAGCCGAGAACGAGCCCAAGGGCATCATGGAGTGGGTGGTCACCTTCTTCTCCGTGCTGATCTTCATCATCACCTCGCCGATCGCCATCTTCATCTGCTTCAAGGTGGTGGCCGAGTACGAGCGGGCGATCATCTTCCGCCTGGGCAGGCTGAGCGGCGGGGCGCGCGGTCCCGGCATGTTCTTCATCCTGCCGTGCATCGACGAGTACCGCAAGGTGGACCTGCGCACGGTCACCTTCAATGTGCCGCAGCAGGAGATGCTGACGAAGGACTCGGTGACGGTCACCGTGGACGCGGTGGTCTACTATCGCATCAGCGATCCCCTCTACGCGGTCGTCCAGGTGGAGGACTACAGCCTGTCCACCCGCCTGCTGGCGGCCACCACGCTGCGCAACATCGTGGGCACCCGCAATCTCTCCGAGCTGCTGACCGAGCGCGAGATCCTCGCCCACACCATGCAGGCCACCTTGGACGAGGCCACCGAGCCCTGGGGCGTCATGGTGGAGCGTGTGGAGATGTAAGTGGCTCTCTAGTTTCTAGAAACGATCCTGATCCTCGACTTTTTACAGCAAGGACGTCTCCCTGCCCGTTTCCATGCAGCGCGCCATGGCCGCCGAGGCGGAGGCCGCCCGCGATGCCCGCGCCAAGGTGATCGCCGCCGAGGGCGAGAAGAAGTCGGCCACTGCCCTCAAGGAGGCCTCCGATGTCATCTCCTCCAGTCCCTCGGCCCTGCAGCTGCGCTACCTGCAGACCCTGAGCAGCATCTCGGCGGAGAAGAACTCGACGATCATCTTCCCGCTGCCCATGGAGCTGCTGACTCCGTACCTGGCCAAATATGCCCACCTGTTGGGGCCGCCGACGCCGGAAACGCCGGAGAAGAACGACAACCTGCTGCTCAATGCCCAGGCCGCTTGGCCCAAGACAAACCTATGATATGTGTACATTTTAAAGCAAATCTTGAGTATTTATACTTTTTTTGTCTTAATAAAAAGTTATCCGGCGAGGAGAACAGTATTAGAAAGTTATGAACTAGCTGATCTTGTTTGTATTTTATTATTCCATCGAGTTCTTGAAGATGTTAAAGAAGATCTCTTTAAATTTGGAGTACGGGGAGAATATAACTTGAAAATGCTACTTTAATCAGTCAGGATATGAGCTTTTTATTATAGAAAAGGAGCAAAGTAAGTCAATAAGTGAATCCTTATCATAATTTTAACCAACAAGTGCAGTTTAAAATAACCCTAAGGCAAAGAAAAACATAACAACTAGACCATAAATGATTAATATAACATGTACGAGGTATTTCACTTTAAAAACGAATTTAACAAGTAAATTGTGCTAAAATAAACCTTAATTACCCTTAAATCTTAATTAAAAATAAATTTAACCAGCAAGTGCAGTTTAAAATAACCTTAACCTTAAACTTAAGGCAAAGAAAAACATAACAATTAAAGCATAAATGATTAAAATAACATTTAAAAGATATTTCACTTTAAAAACGAATTTAACAAACAAATAATGGTAAAATAAACCTTGATTAACCTTAAATGTGAATTAAAAATAAATTTAACCAGAAATTTCAGTTTAAAATAACCTTAACCTTAAACTTAAGGAAAAGAAAAACATTACAACTAAACCATAAATGATTAATTTAACATTTAAAAGGTATTTTGCTTTAAAAACGAAGTTAACAAACAAATATTGCTAAAATGAACCAAAAACATGCTGAAATTAATTTTGTGAATATTTAAAATAACGCGAGACACTTACATTTACAGCAAATAAACGCTGGCCGGATCCACGGCCAGGGAATGGCTGGCCAATTGGGCCATGGTCCTCTGGAAGCTGGCGTCTCCGGCGACGATGAGGACGCGCTGGCCGGGAATGGAGGGATTCAGGTGGCTGGCAAGCTCGGAGGCATCCAGGCGGGCCACCCGGGCCGCCTCCTTGTAGCGCAGGCTGCGGCGGAAGTGGAGGCACCCAACCTGATCCTGATCCTGATCCTGGCAAGCCTCCGCCTCGCACTGCTGATGCGGCAGGTAGAGGCAGCTGCGGTAGTTCCAGAACTGGGCAAACTCGAGCAGCTCCTCGCGGAAGTGGACGTGCTGCAGGTCGCGGGCGCAGACCAGGTGCCACACCCGGCTCATGTCCTCCTCGTTCTCCAGCACCTGGCGAACCAGCGGCATGGTGGGCGCAATGGCCACGCCCTGGGCGAGAATAAACAGGCACTTGGCCTCCAGCGGATCATGCGCGTACTGGCCGATGGGTCCGCGGAACTCGAGCAGATCGTTGGGCCGCACGGCGGAGAGGTGACGGGACATGGCGCCATCCGGCTGCAGCTTCACCAGGATGCGGAACTCCCTGGCCAGGAAGTCGCTCCAGTAGGGCGAATAGGGACGCAGCAGGGAGCCGACGCGCAGCATCACATGATGGCCGGGTGGGATGTCTAGCACGGCGTCCGTCTCCGTCTCCTCCTCCTCCTTCTCCTCGGAGGCGGCGTGGCCAAAGTGCAGGAGGAGCACCTGGCCATCGGATTTGGATTCCCGGCGCAACAGGCGGAACTTCGTGTAGCCCAGGATCACGTTGCGTTTGCCGGCCAGCAGGACGCGCTTGCTGGGCCGTGGCCGGTGGTCCAGGATGCAGTTGGTGCAACCATTGCCGCAGCAGTCCGAATCCTGCAGCAGATCCTCCTGCACATCCTTAGAAATTAACCAAAACAATGCAAGTCTTTAACAGTTTTCAACACAAAATAAGGCCACCACAACATAGGATACCACGAAATCTAGTAACCAGATATATATGCTGGTTTTGCCTTTATATTTCAGAGACTCACCTCGTTTGGAAGCATGTGTATTTTAGTTAATAAAATCTAAATTAACTATCAAAAACATCAACAATTTTAAAAAGCTCTCAAAAAAGTTGGCCAACACTAAATTACAGTGTTGGAAAACACCAATTTGAGTGGTATTATTCTAGTATTAAAATACTAGCCAACGAAATGGTACTAATAAATTAGTAGTACCAAACCACACACACAAATCGAACCAAAAAAAAAATGACAGTCAAAAGTGTGTAAATAAAACAAAGAAAAGGGAAAATAAATAAAGAGGCAAAGATCTGATCCCAGAGCACCAGCTGCCCCCCAGTCGAGAGAAGCCACCGCCAGATCCCCGTTCCCGCGGCGATCGAGGAGCAGACGCAGTGCGGCGAGTGCCCACGAGCAACTAGTGTCCAGTTACCAAGTGTCCAGTGTCCAGTGTCCGGTGGCCATTGTCCATTGTCCACATCTCTATGGTGGCGCCAGCAACATGAACCTGGAATCTCTGTTCCGCGACTTTAATCCCTGGTGAGTAGCTCCGCCGCTGAGGAGGCGTCGAATCCTTTAAACATCCATCTTCTCCTCCAGCAAATTCATCGTCCACTGCAGCCTCTTCACCTTTGTCACGCTCTTCGCTTTGCGCCTGGACAACTTCATAGGTGGGTACTGTACTGGCTGCTCGGAGGACACCACCTCATCGAGCAAGAAGGCAATACTATGGTCTTTCTAGTCTCTAGGAGCTACACTACCTCTTATTCCGAAAAAAACTAAGGGATCTAGGGATCTATAGGGGAACTACCTCTTAAAGTAATATCACCTAGTAATATCACTTCTTATAAGTGTGAATATATCGCTATCCATAAATATATCGCTATCCTAACAGATGTCCAGTTATACAATAGTTTATAGAGCATATAGATGGTATATTCCATTCCTATAGACAGAAAATGATATTTTATAAGGATAAACTTAACTTATGAATTATTATCACTTCGATTGCAAGATAACTATGTCTTTGTCAAGGAATTATCCCAAATATTTCAGAACAATAACCTTCTAACTTCTGTAGACCAGATTGCAGCTTAAAGTAGTATCACCTACTAATATCAGTTCAGTTATAATCCTTCAATTAGTGAATTACCCATAGATATATCGCTATCCTAAGAGATTTCCAGTTATACAATAGTTTATAGAGCAAAAAATGTTGGTATATTCCATTTCTATAGATAGAAAACTATATCTTACAGGGATAAACTTAGCTTATTAACTAGTATATCATTTTTATAGCGAAATAACTTTATCTTCTGTTAATTTTTGTCCAAGAACAATAGCCTTCAAACTTCTGTAGCCACGAAAGTATCTAACCCAATGCCTTCTTTTCACAGATTGGCCCTACTGGGCGATCTTCACACCGCTTTGGATATGGAAGTGCACCGCCATTCTGGGCGCCATCGTGGGCGCCATCGTCTGGTGCCGGTATCCACACTATCGACTCGAGGGCGACGCCTACACGCAGTTCAAGGCGATGCTCATCTCGCTGGCCCTCCACCTCATCCTGCTGATGTTCGAGCTGCTGGCCTGCGATAAGCTGACCTCGGACCGCCACCTGTGGGTGCTGGTCTTCATACCGCTGATCTTCGGCTCGGTGGTCAGCGTGGGCGCCTGCGTGTGGGCCGTCAAGCACGATCGCTCCTTCGAGCTGGAGCTCTTCCTGGCGGTCAATGCGCTGCAGTTCGTCTCGCTGCCGCTGAAGCTGGATCGCTTTGTCTACTGGAACTGGGACGTGGTCTTTGTGCCCATGTGGATCGTCATTTGCCTGAGTTTGGTCAGCGTTCTGTACAACATCATCTTCTGCGGCATCATGATGCGCACACCGGAGGTCTCGCTGCAGCAGAAGAAGGCGGCGCTAAATGCGGCGGTGGGAAACATTTGCACGGTGCTCCCGTTGCTCTGCTTTCAGGTGAGTTCTTGCCTAGTTCGCTATGAGCAATGCTAACCATCATCCTTTTCAACAGGTGGTGATCTGCGACAAGCTGGACGGCGAGCTAAAGTTCCCCTACATCGTGGTCTTCTCGCCCCTGCTCGTCTCCATTCTGGCCCTGATCATCCTCAGCTTCACGGCCAAGGGCGGCAACATGTGGTGGTTCGGCATCCGCAAGTCCTTCAGCCAGTTCCTCCTGTCCGCGATGCCCTTCCTGCAGGAGTACGGCAATATCAGCTACCATCCGGAGACGCACAGCAATGCCGGTCAGTCCATGCCGCTGGATGCCAATGCCACCTCCTCATCGACCAGCATGGCGGCCAGCGAGCAGCTGCACGAGTTCGGCAAGCACGACAAGAAGAGCAAGAAGGGGGCCAAGAACGACATCCTCAAGCCGGTGGTGCCCTTCGTCAGCATCGACCTGCCGGACTAGATGATATATAGATAGAGGAGCAACAATAAATAGCAAGAACCTCTGCCTCTCAGCACGCGCACACTCGGAGACGCCGCACACCTTTGTTCAGGTGTTTAGATATATAAGATATATAAGCATTGCATACCCAAAACAAACAGACTCACACATCGGCCGTAGCTTTTAGACTCGTACTGAATTTTAATTGTAAGCCAAATGCTAACACCGCCCACGACCCATGCCTCCCCTTCATTCGCCTGCATATAATAGCTGTACATATATACTGGCCCTGACTCCACACACACACACTATACCATTGGCTTTCACCTTTCACCTTGACCAGTATTTCCTTTTACAAACTGAAAAAACACCGCAGCGTAATAAATTCGGACTCCCGGCCTTATATATGTGCTAGCATATTATATGTCACATCCCTTATGTGTAATAATGCCCTACGATAAAGTGTAAATAATTTACAAAACTACATGAAAACAAGAAATATACTTAAGTGCTTCCAAAACAAAATTCAAAACGATTGAAACTTGTGCTTAAATGTTGGATTTAAATCTTAGTAAATAATGTTCAGGTTGTGAGTTGTATTAATCTTTATTCAAATTAGGAAGCTACAAAGTTTACATATTTCATAGTTAATTAGTGTTTTGTTTTTATTTAATTAATTCTCTTACGTTGTGTCGCCTAAAAATGTATGCAAAGGTAAAAAGTTGCATTTTAAAAAGTGACCATCCCAGAGCTGCTGCTTTCTTGCCGGAGATAAAAATAATTAGAAAATAGCCGATGAGCGATATATATGTATGTATATATCCGCACTCCTCGGATGCAACTGGAATTACATGTCCATATCCTTAGGGGCCGAAGGGCGAGAGAGAGAGAGAGAGAGAGGCACATAATTGGAAAATCGGAATGGAGCGGGACATATAGATAGTTTAGGGAGCGAGCTAAACTCAGTGCGTGTAAACATCAACAATAATTCAAATATATATCTGCTCGATCGCCGGGTGCAACTGGCAACTCAACTATTGCATAACATATCGCTTGAGTGGGCGTGACCTTGAGTACATGTGTTTAACTTTCAAGTGAGTATCCGTACAAATATCATTTTTGTGTGAGATTTAATAATTGTTTCATTCGTTTAGCTACGTTGTTCGGTTGTCCGGGGGAATACAGGATATTTACTTTAAACGCACAATGCATATTCGGAATAATAATAATAATAATATAATAATAATGCTGGTAATAATATTTTACTTATGGAATAAGAGCTTCCGCTTGACTCTGGTGTGTATAGTACAAAGTTAAATAAGTAATATCAATTTAAACTCTCTTCGATTTAAGCTAAATACTGCTGTGGAGAACAGAATACCTACGCATCTCCGTAACTGCCAAAAAATATATATATTGACCCTAAACTGGTTTGCAATTCGGTTACCTATGGGGGCTCTATAGTTTTCACCCGATCGCTCAGCAAATACTGTGGATTTTCGCATTTCCTATATCTCAGTTTTACAATTTTCATTTCGCTATTTAAGTTGGCTAAGAACAATTGTTTATTTGCTACATTTATTTAATCTGACGTCGTGAGCATCAGAAGCCTTAACCATTCAGATTTTTTCGATCCTACGAACAGTGATGGGAAAGGTACAACATTTGCTTACCCAGGCGGAAGAAATATAAGTAAAAAGATAATCAGATCTATTTGAATTGCTGACTTAATACAGTTTCTCAGACTTTGATCCCTGGCGGGAGCTCTTTGGTTCCGAACTTTCATAAATTTCTGTTTAATAATTTAATAATAATAATTAAATAGATTGATTCTGAACCTGTGGTTAAACTAGCTATTAAAACGCCATTAATTAAGTAGGCCTAAGTTTTATATATTCTGAATACGGATGCAAGCTACCTAGATACTTCCCATGGGTGCGTGTCATAACACCCGCGGGCGTTATGACATTAACCCCTTCCCATCACTGCTCCAAATCTGTGAATGGTTTTTCTTCGTTGCCCTTAATGTCGCAGCTTAATGTCTATTGTCTAAATTGTGTTACAATGGTATTCTTCTGATACTGACTCTGTTTCTGTTTCGGTTTCTATTTGTTTGGGGGAGGGCCAATAGGGCCGTTGCTCGTTTTCATCTTGTATAAACGATATGTACTAAGTGGTAAGTAATACGACTTCTATTTATTTTACTGCCTAACAAATGAAACGCTGACGCTGGTCGCCCTTTGCTGGCTCTTTTGGATTCGATTCGAAATTGACATGAGATCTGGCGAGCTGCTATCCATTAGGCATACACAATTGTTACATTATTGTTGGTTTGCTGTTTTGGGTGCACTTAATCCTTAGGTAACTTATTTCAAGTATTTAGAATGTGTACATAGAACGTTATGCCCTCTAATCTGGCAAATTTCTTTACATACTTGTTGGTTTTCATTTAATAATTATATTAATCCTGGAACTATGGAACATTTCGCTTTCGTTTCGTTTCGGTTTTCATTTCCTAATTACTTTGGATTTATGGTTTCTTACTTCGGTTTGATTAGTGTGTAAGGAGAATCGAAGAAAATAGAAGAATGCTAATTTTGTTGTTGATCGGTATGGAAGCGCTTAGTTTTGAAGTTGAAGAAGTTCGTTAATTGTACGTTTCGTATGGGAATTACACACACTATACACTGGAGAAGTGGCATGCAGGTGGGATCTAGTCGGGGCTCCAATCTAGTCCACTTTCGGCCGGGTGCTCAAGTACTGGGCGAGATTCTCGCGTGGTCCCTGCACGATCATCATGAACTGCGAGGGGAAGTCCCAGATAATGGTGAAGTGGAACAGCATGTTGGCGATGGCGATCAAGTACTCGAAGAACGCGAACCAACTGAAGGCTGTAAGGGGAGTATAATAATCATTAATTTTTATTCATAATTATTATCAGTCATGAGGAATATCTTATCTTTAAATTAAATTAATAAGTTTTGATATATTTTATCGTTATTTATAGTTAGTAGTTAAAAAAATACAACTTTATTCCATAATCAATTTGATCTATTTTAGTATCCAAACGATATTTTCAGAATAATATGAATATGATATGATAAATTACAATAATATGGTAAATTTAAAACCTTATTTAAATGTCTGAAATGGTATATTTTTTATATTTTAAATATGAATAGTTAAAATAATATAGCTCTAATCCATTTAATGATATCAATTTGATCTGTTTTAGTATCCAAATGATATTTTCAGAATATTGTTGAATGTGAAAATGATATGAGAGTAGATCAAGAAGATATTTCTGCTAGTATCTCACCCAAGTCGTGACAGTAGAAGCGGTGTTTGGCGAAGAACACCAGCAGTCCGATGGTGCTCAGGATGGAGACGGCGAAGAGGATCTTCTTCCACTTGATGGACAGTTGCTGCTGTTCGCTCAGCGATTGTCCGGCATTGAGGATGCCGTTCAGCTTGATCGTGGCGAGCATGTAGCACAGCGAACATATCATGAACGTGATGAAGATGCGCTCGTGAACGGCTGGAAAATGGGAATAAACGAGGATTATCAGATGGGATATCCACAAAACCACTAGTGTAAACCTACGGTAGTTCTCTCGATTCGATATATAGGTGACGCCGCCCAAGGCCGCGATCTCGATGCAGTTGAGCACCAGGATCAGCGTGATGAGCAGGCTGGTCTGAGGCACCTGGGCGGGACTGATCCGACGCAGCTGCGAGCGGTAGTAGTTCTTGTAGACGAAGGCGATGGGGATGCGCGGTCCGATGTGGAGCGCAATGCTGAAGCGCCAGAAGTAGCGCTGCGGACTGACGCCGGTAATTGCACTTATCGAGGGTATTATGTTGTAGACCTGGTCGTGGTGGAAATAGAATCGAATCGTTATTGATCTGCGGGCTAGGGTTTTGGAGCTTAAACTTATATACCATTTTTAATAATTATAAAAATATATATAATATGTATTTTGATTATAATTAATTCTATTTGAATTACATTTTTATTTTTAATTCATTTTTAAATATTTCTACCTTTAAAATAAATGTAAAAAAATAATTCAAAACAATTATCTTAATTGCATGGCATTTCCGACTGTTTCAAGAACATTAATCAAAACGAATCGTTTAGAAAGGTTGATTTGCGTGTCTCCTATCTCGCACGGAGTCCCGCGGGGATGACAGTGATTTGTTGGCCGCGGGATTAACTGGGATTGGAGCCACTCCTTGTCCCCCCTTCCCGATCCCCATGAGCCCCCGTAACTCACGCGGCAATGTGTCTCGTGGACATCGTCGTACTGGAAGACGTAGGCGGTCACGAAGCACGTGAAGAGCGTCACCAGCGGCAGCAGGGCGGTGACCACGCAGAGCTCGTGGAAGCTGGCCAGGTAGTGGATGGCCACCTGCTCCTTCGGCTCCCCCGAATCCTCCTGCTTGGTTGTCTTGCTAATCGTTGTGCTAGTCTGTAAATAGATCAGGCCGTTAGGATCGAGTTTGTTTGGTGCAATTTTAAGGGGTAAATCCACTGTCTAGAATATTCTTTTAAATTTTAGAAGAAACAAATATTTGTGATCCAGAAATTTAAAATTTTTATTTTTTTATTTATTTATTTTTTTTTTAAGATTTTACAGATTTTAAATAAATTATATTTTGAAGATATCTTAAACAGAAATATGGAAATTTTAAATTTTTTTTAAATTTATTTTATTTTTTTTTAAGATTTTAAATAAATTATATTTTGACGATATCTTATACATAAATATGGAAACAAATCAAGTTATCCTATCCTACTCTTTATGTAAGCTTTTGAGAATGTTCTTTAAGGTTTGATACTCTAAGGACCTATAAAACTATTCAAGTTCCCAAAATCTACAGTGGTTTCACCTCTTAAATGTGAGGATATGAAAAAGGAGTGGTAGCCCTTACCTGGCTATATGATTAATGCACAACAACGAAAAAGCGCTAAAAATAAAGGAAAAGAATAGAAATAGAAAAACAAGAAGAGGTGTGAATAAATCAATAAACAAAAGACAAATAATGAGGCGCAGCAAATAAAGGCGGAAACTATGCGATATGAGAATACGCAAAGTGAGTGAAAGGCTGAATAATGGATGAGGTCCGCATGGCATCCCAAATTGGATGAGCCGGAGTTATAAATAAACAAGTCCTTGAAAGGGGATAGGCAGGGGATAGGATGGTATGGGATATGATAGGGTATGGTGTGCGGCTATCTAGGGGGTGACAAGGCCACGCTCTCTGGCAAAAGGCTCTCTCCGTTCTGCCGCTCCGAAGCGGCAAAGGATTAATGTCCAAAAATAGATGAGCTGCCCCTGACGTAACCAATGCCAGGCTATAAGCTATATGCTATATTCTATATGCTATATAAGCTATAACCAACCAGCAGCTGGCCAAAATTAATTAGCACAAAATTAATGGGAAATTGGCCGGGCGTCAGGAATGAAATGAAATATGTGCTGCGATTAAATCAGGACACCGGAAGCAAGAAAGTTCCCAAGAAACTAGGACACAGGTGGATGTGGATGTGAATGGGGAGGGGGCAATTCCACAAGGACATGGCGAAATCGAATAAATGATTAAGACAAGAAGGAGAACGAGAACGAGAACAAGAACCAAACAAACAAGCGCCACCAAGTAAATAAACGCATTTCGAAAATTAGGCAGCCAGCGAGTAAAACAAAATAAATGTGTGGAAAGCAACGTGAAACGTTAACAAATCTGCACAGAAAACATTTTTCAAGATCCATTAGTTTTCAACAAATTACAGAACCTATCAGAACTTTAAAACGTTTGTATTATTGATTCAACTCAAAACTTTTTGGTATCCAATAAAGACTGGAAATTATTTTTAAATTCTGATGTTAGAAGACATTATAATTGGCTTATCTATACAAACGTTAATGTATGTTATTTTTTCAAATTACTTTCCACTTTAAATTAAATTGACTTTATTTGCTTTAAATATTGTATTTGAAATATAACATTTTTGGAATCAGATCTATATTTTTCAAAAACCTAAAAGTTGTCTAGGATTTTTTCAAAGATATAGACTTGGTGAATTCAAATTTACCATGATCCTGTGGGGATTGAAATTAAAAATATTTTCTGAACCGATTTGAAAAATATTTTCGGTGTGGAAAAGTGTAGGGGAGGGGAGGTCAGGCCAGGGGGTGGCATGCGCGGTGGCTGCGGAAAATTACAACAAACGAGTCGAGGAGCATGGAAAATAAAACGGGCACACACACACACACACAGGCGCACACAAACACCCCCGCACAATTTTTATGTGCAGTGGCGGGGGGGTGGTGAAATGGGTGGTGGGTGGGTTTGGGAGGTCACTAAGCGTGCGCTACCTCCGCTTAAAGTTATATAATTTTTGGCCAGGCCAAACAAACCATAAATACACACAAACACACACAGACACTTCACAAGAAAAAAATTTAAAGGAAACTTGAACGTAATTTCCATGGGAAAAAGGCGAAAACGACGTGACTCTCACCGCTGCTGCTGGGTCGCCGGATCCGGATCCGGATTCGCCGGAGGAGCAGCTGTTCCCGCCGCCTCCTTCGCCGCCGTCGCCACCGCACCTGGACGCCAGTCCGTCCGTCGGCCCCTTCCCGCTATCTGCCGCCGATGACGTCGCCGCTCCTGTGCCCTGCTGCATTTTCTGATCGGTTGTCGGTGCTGCTGCTGCTGCTGCTACTGCTCGTGCTCCCGTCGATGATGCTATTTGGCATAATTTGCATGCCCCAACGCTGCCGTCGCCGAGTTGTGACCGCGCGCGCGCCTCTCTCGCAACTGTCAGTAGTGCTCCGTCGACTATTCCATTCCCATTCCCATTCCATTGGCCCATCCACTTCTCTGCCTTCCTGGCGGGCCTGGTCCCACTGGCCAGCCCGTTGGCAGGGTCACACCGTCGATATACCGTTAGCTTTCCTGCCTAGCCCGTTGCCAGGGTCACACTCACAATACAGTTGGATTGACTGCCCTACTTATCTATAGCGGGTTTCTTTTCAAATTCAATCAAATGATATAAATGGCATTTTAAAAATGTTAGTTAATAAATTAATATTTAAAAGAAATACATACATTTATGGGCAGGAAGTAACTTTACATTCTTTACTTTTTATTACTGATTAATATATTACTTTATAGAACGATTTGCAAAAATTAATTATATTACATTATGTACGCTATGTTAGGGCTGCTTATTTCCATAGATTTAAAGAAAATCGTTACTGATTATATTAACCAAAATTTTACTAGAAGTAATATTAGTAATATTTCTTATTATTTTTCTAGTTTAAAGTAATATCTTTTGAAAGTATTAAATATGTGTAAGTTCAAAAAGATAACTCTACTCGAAAGTATTTAATGATTTCAACCGTTCACAACTATGCATACATCAAAATTATATTTAGAATACTATAAAGTGATAAATAAGTGATATGTGTAAATTGGGTAAAAAAATAAGAAGAAAGCGTACCTATAGAAAATTTAAACAATGTTTTTCCAGAAAAAAATTTTCGTTCAAAAGTAAAAATATTTCATATGCGACTTCAATTAAAAATTTGTGTGATTACTAATGCAAATATGATGAATAAAGTGTGAATAAAGATGTAGAAAACTCAATTTAAATAAACAATCATTTCCGAAAGCATAAAATGAATATGCGGTTAACCTCTTGTTTCTTTATAGCGCTTTATTGAAAAACTAATTTCTCTGTTACAATCAGATGGCTAAATTCTCCTTTTTCATCTGATATTTAAAACTTTTACATTTAGTAGTAGATGGTTGATGCTTTCGTGTGTACAATCGAACCATAAAGGGTCGCCATTGTCTTTTGTGTACGAAGGTAAAATGAGATGAGAACAGGGAAACGCATGCCGGGGGTCGAACTGGACTGGAACTGCGTTTCCCTGCTTGGAAAGTTGTTGTTAGATTACTAAAAAATAAATTAAGAGCTTCGATCTCCCTCCGATCTTCTCCTAAGCTAGAACTAGTTGCTGTGTGGATGACCGACACTATCTCCTTAGTTCCAAATCTCACCAGCCGCAATCTCCAGCACCATCTTCCTGCGGAAATACTCCATTTCCGTTTGGCAAAAGGTGATCGGGACATCGCGCGAAATGTATTCGGCGAACATGCAGCTAAAAACGCCGCAATCGCTGCCATTCTGTTGTTGCGGCACATTGGGTGCGCTCTCGATCTTGAAGACGCTCGTATCGAAGGGCTGCTTGCGCTTGTCCAAGGACTCCTCGCGCAGATAGGCCTCCAGAGCGTTCAGCACGGGCTGATTCGGCTGTCCCATGGAATCGTAATAGTGAATCGTCTTGTTGCGCATGTGGATGATGGCCATGCACCAGTGGACGCCGTTGACGTGCACCGGCACCGGAATGACGTCCTTGGAGAAGATATCGACCTTGCGGGTCCAGCGCTTTACGCCCGCATGTCCAGCCTGCAGAAGGCGCGGCACGAAGAATGTGTTCATCGCGTACGTGGCGGGCAGTTCGCCAGGACGCTTCTCCGAGCGTTCGGTCATCAAGTTCATGTAGAAGTTAATCACCTCGTCGTTCAGCCACTCGCCATCCAGCATTGTCCGAATGTCGCGGCGGGTGATGTGCATGTTGAACTTGACAACAAGAACCTGTGGGTGTATATATATTATTTATTTAGAATTTAATATAATTTAGTTTAAATTTTATGCCTACCGTCGATACTTCGCCCGTCATCAACTCGTTATAGCGCCTTATGTGCTCCTTGGTAAGCGGAATGATTTTGGTTTCCTTCGGTTGAGAAGCCGGCTTGTCCACCGATCCGATGACGAAGATCGGCTTGTGGAGGATGCGGTACTGGAAGATGTTCTCCCGCAGTTTATACTCGTAGTCACGTCGTTCCTCTGTGGTGCGTTTAGCCCTGCAATTTGGTGTGCCGTGTTAAGTACTGAAGAAATATACATGTTACAGGCGGTTGGAAACTTACTCCACGACGGCCAATTTACGACGGTGCTCGGTTTCCTCCTGGATGCGAGCCGACTTGGCCTTGAACTGCTCCACGAAGTCATCCTTGAGGTAGATGCAGCTGGCGAAGCGACGTTGCAGGGCATCGGTCACAGCGAGCCTGGAAGGCGTCTGGCCACTGGGCGATTTCGCAGCGTCACTGATGGGTAAGAGAATTCAATAATTTAATATAACATTTACAAATATATTATAAAAATTAAATTCAAATAATAAATAAAAATGTATCTAATTCGACTCCTTGAAAAATACCAAATTAAGCTCAAAATCTAAATTCACAATTATAAAAATAAAAATGTATCTAATTCGACACCTTGAAAAATCCCAAATTAAGCTCAAAATCTAAATTCACAATTGTAAAAATAAAAATGTATCTAATTCGACAACTCAGACGAGCTCCTAATTTTAGTTAGCTTATAGTTATAACTTTAAGTTTGCTTTATTGTAAAGACACTAACGTGTGGTTGGTCATCGTGTTGGCGGCCTTCCTTTCATTCGAGCCATCATCTGCGGCTGTGACCATCACCAAGGAATCGGAGGAGCCGCTGTTTGAGCTTTCGCTGCTTCCCGAGCTGCTGGAGAGGGTGGAGGCACGGCTGTTGTTGAAGCTACCAATGCGCATTAGCTGCGGCGGCGGTGTTGGTGCTGGCGACGGCTTTTGCCGCTCTGCCTGGCTGCTGCTACTGCTGCTTCTGATCAGTCTGGCGTAGTCGGAGAGGCCGCGGTTATCGGGGCGCCTCGAAGAAGACGACGACGGTTGCTGCTGATGCTGCTGCAACGAACGAGATTGGTTGTTGTGCAGCATGGAACTCCAGGTGGCCGGCTGGGCGTCAATGCGCTGCAGCGGCGGTGGATTCGGCTTGGCGAAGCGACTGGCCACGGAATCATTGTGGGTCACCGTGTGTATGAGGTTCATATACTGTTCGTGCTCCATGCGCTCCATCTCGTGGGTGAGGATGCTCTTCTCCGCCTGAGCGGGAGCTCTGCGGCTCGCATGACCGTTTACACGGGCCTCGCCGACGAAGCCATTCTGACCCAGACGCACGGCATCCGAGTAGAGCAGCTGGGGGTGTCTGGCCGATGGACCAGCGGCGTTGGCAAATCTCTGGGCAGGCTCATCATCGTCCGAGACGTCGAAGGGATTGGGTATGTAGGGGGCTTCATTGCGCACACGGTGCTGCGTGTATACAGGCGGATTGAATATCGAGAGCCGCTTCGAGCCCTGCTGCTGCTGATGCTGCTGTTGCTGTTGATTCTCGCGCTCCCGCTCGGCCATGGACTTGCTGGGTATCAGGTCCTCGGCGGCTGGCTCATTCGTTATGAAGCGGGGAAAGGAGTTGTCCACCCGCCGGTACTTGATCGGCCGTGTATTCTCCTCCTGGTGGCTGCAAGAACAGAAGATCATTTAGTGTCTAAATACTCGACAAACTTAAAAAGTAGCTTACCGTCTTTTCCAGGTTGAATTAGCTGAATCAGCAGCTCGGTTTCGACCCGTTTCCGCCTCCCCGCTGTCCGATTCCTCTTCCTTGGGCTTATACCAACCGGTAACTAACTGTCTTAGTCTCTTCAAAATTTCCAAGCCCATCGAAATTCCGTTTTGGAGCTCGTCTCTTTGCCCGGTGGCCCTCTGCTTCGGAAGCTCAGTCTCCTCGATGCCCAGAAAGATTTCCCTGAGCAGGACGACGCTCTGCTTGGTGGATTCTCCGCGAATGGCTTCCTCTACCAGCTGGTGGCACACATTGGCCAGCTTCTGGCGCAATTGCAATAGGGCCAAGCGATAGCCGGCGGCTTGGAAGTGCTCCGGATGGGCTTTCAAACTATCGCAGGCCTCGCCGATGAGCTCAAGGAGTTTGCGCACGCACTCGGTGTAAGGATGTAGTTCGGTAGCTTCGTTTGACTCTGGGTTTTGTTCCGTTTGGGTCTTTGCCTCGGAGGCCAGCTGCTGCTGCTCCTGACCAGCTTCAGCCGGAGATTGGCCAGCCGTGTGGTTGGCCAGCTCCTCCAAGTCGGGCTGGTACAACTGGTTCTCGAATTCCAGCAGGCCGAACGGCTCCTGGTTGTAGTAGCGAATCTCCACCGGTCCCACCGGAATCCTCGAATCCTGCTGATAGTACTGGATGGCGGGCTGATAGTACTGAATCTCGGATTCTATCTGACTCTTCAGTTTGTGCTCAAAGTAGTGCACCTCAGAGGCGAAGTGTGGCTCCTTCTGTACTGGAATCTGCTGATCTTCCTGCTGAAATTCGCTGAAAAACGTTTGGTTTTGATCTTCCCGCAGGTCTTCCACCTCAATTCCACTCTGGTCGATGTGATTGTGAGGGTCAGTTACGATCTCCTGGCTATTCTGCTGAATATGGGCTGCAGTCTGGTCTTCTTCCTGCTGAAACTCTCGTAGAATCTGGTGGTTTTGTTCCTGAATCTCAGCTGCAATCTTGATGTCTTCCTTCTGGTTGTTATACCCTTCTTTCTGTTCAAACTCTCTTAAAATCTGGTCGTTATGCACCTCGATCTCAGCTACAATCTGCACATCTTCCGGCTGGAGCTGAGCTGCTATAATTTGGGTTTCCTGGAGGATCCCTGGTGCAATCTGGTCGTTGTCCTCCTCCTCAAGAACCAAAATCGACTGGCTGTGATCCTGAACTTCAGTCACAAACTGAATTTCTTCCTCCACTTCCTCCTGGACTGTAAGCTGCTCGTCTTCCTGTTGTAACTCGTTCGAAATCGATTGAATTTCGGTTACAATTTGAATAGCTTCCTCCGGAATCTGGGCTGCAACCTGATCTTCCGCCTGTTTGAACTCCTCCAAAATCGGCGTGTTTTGATCCTGACTCTCAGATGCACTCAAGTGGTTTTCCTGCGGAAGCTGCGATACAATCGGCTCGTCCTCAATCTCAATTACAATTTGTTCATTGAGATCTTGGGTCTCAGTTACAATGTTTCGGTCTTCTTCAGTTACCGTCGGTATGTCTTCCTGCTGAATTAGGGATTGTGGATCGTGCGATACAATTGGCTCGTCCTGTATCTCAATTACAGTTTGCTCATGGATATCTTGATTCTCAGCTACAATTTTCGGCTCTTTCTGCTCTTCTGCTTGCTCCAAATCGTTTAAAACCTGGTGGTTTTGAACCTTTACCTCAGTTTCAATCTGAATTTGTTCAGTTACAATCGGTATATCTGCTTGCAGAATCTCCTGATCTTCCTGCTGGATTGGGGAAGCAATCAACTGGGTTTCCTGCAGGCTCGGCTGCTTTTCCTCTGCAACCTGCGGCACAATCGGCTCGTTCTGTATCTCAACTACAAGCCGCTCACTGATATCTTGAATCTCAGTTGCAATATCTTGGTCTTCCTGCGGGAATTGGACTGCAACCTGCTCTTCAGTTGGCTCCAAATCGCTTAAAATTTGCAGCGGAATCTGCGATACAATCGGCTGGTCCTCTGTCTCAATTACAATTTGTTCGTTGATATCCTGAGTCTCAGCTACAATGCCGTGGTCTTCCTGCAGGATCTCAGTTACAGTCGGTACGTTTTCCTCCTGGGTTGGTGAAGCAATCAGCTGATCTTCCTGCAGGATCTCTGTGGCAATCTGCTCGCTTTCCTGTGGAACGTGCGATACGTTTGGCTCGTCTTGTATCTCAACTACAATTTGCTCTTGGATATCTTGATTAACAGTTGCAATTTTCGGGTCTTCCTGCTCTTCTGCTCGCTCGAACTCGTTTAAAACCTCAGTTGCAATCTGAATGTCCTCTTGCGGAATCTGGGCTACAATATTCTGAATGAACTCGCTTACCTCAGTTGCAATCGGTATGTTTGCTTGCAGAATCTTCTGGTCTTCCTCCTGGTTTTGCTTTTCCTGTATCTCAACTACGATCTGCTCATTGATATCTGGATTTTCAGACAGAATTGGCTGGACTTTTGCTGGCTCAAACTGGCTTGAAACCTCAGTTGCAGCCTCAATTTCTTCCTGTGGAATCTGGGATGCAATATTATGGTCTTCTTGCAGGATCTTGTCCGCAATCAGTTGGGTTTCTTGCACAATCTGAGATAGAATAGTCGGTTCGTTGAGATCTTGAATCTCAGTTGCAATGTTTTGGTCTTCCTGCAGGACTACAACCACGACCTGCTCTTCTCTTTGCTCGATCGCGCTTATCTCAGTTACAAGGGCTTCCTGTTGGATTTCCTGTGGAATCTGCTGTATCTCCTGTATCTCAACTACGATCTGCTCATTGAGGTCTTGATTCCTGGCTACAATTGGCTGGGTTTCCTGCAAGACCAGCTCTTTCGTTTGCTCAATCTCACCTAAAACCTGTAGTTTTTGATCCCGGACCTCTTCCGGCTGAATCTGGGTTGCAATTCTCTGGTTTCGCTGCTGAATCCTGGCTGCAGCGAGCTGTCTTTCCTGCAGCAGCTGCTCGGCCACCCGCTCGTTCACCTCCTCGAACTCCCGCAAGGCCAGTTGCCGGTAGCTGGTTGGCTCGCCGACCTGATAGACTTGCCGCTGCTCCTCCGACAGCAGCTCGAATTCCTCGGCCGAGGGCGTCTGCGCGTGCAGCCTGGGCGCCAACTGAGGTCCGTCCGAGTTCGCAGTCTGGTTCCAGGTGGAAACGCTGTGGCCACGCACTCTCTGCGGCGACGTCACTGGCGTGGAGCTGCGCAGCTCCTCGAGCCGCGGACTGGAGTGCTGGGACGACAACGACAACGACGACGGCGTGAGACAAGACCTCTTTGGCGAGGCGAAGAACGGCTCCGCATTCGGTATCCGCACGGCTCCAGGTGCCCAGAACTTGCCCCTCGACGGCGATACGGGCAAGAAGGCCGGGCTCTCGAATGCGGCTGCTCCCTGGAAGTGGTGGTGGTGGTAGTAGTGGCTCTGATTCGTACTACTATTGCCGGCGTAGCCCGAATCCGCTTGCGAACCAGGAGCCCCGAATGGCGGCGAGTTTCCTTGGTGGTCTACAGACGAACCATTGACTCCATCGCGGGATGCGGAGGCGGATGTGGATGCGGATGCTGAATCGGTCACAACGGCTTCTTCGGAAGACTTCGACATGCGTCTTCGCGTTTCTTCTGCCGCTGGTTCTGAGCTGTGAAGGAAAATCAAGGATTGCTTTGCATTAGGATTTTCGAGTCAACGAATTCCAAAGAAATGAAAAATGGGAAGAGAAAAAAAAAACGCAGCCGGTAAAACGCAGCCGATTTTGCGCATTTTCCTGGCCGCCGATTTTTTTTTTCCGCCCTTTGCCGCTCGCCCCGCCACCCGCTCTTGCCACGGGGAACAGCTAAGCACTCACCTCTTGGCCAGCCGGTAAACACTTTTCCAATGCCGGCAAAGCGGAAAATTTGCAACGCGGCGTGTGGAAAATTGTGAAAAAGAAAGAAATTTTCAATTTTCTTGGCGTGCTGCCTCCAGTGTGACCGTACCACGGATAGCGCGGAAATTCCAAGAACAAGCGTTATCGATAGTTTAGCTATTTTGGCTATTTTTTTAGAGGCTGTGCTTAGCTATTTTTTGGAACGGATTTTTAAAATTAAAGGTTTTTTTTTAAAAATTAACTTAAGGCGAATATATTTTACGTGTTTTATTTGGTGGCTTTATGTTTAGCTCTTGCCATGCAACTTATGTTTAAAAAGTTGGAATTTCTTAACATATAACCAGGGAACGAAAATAACTGTTATTGTAAATTTTTCATACAAAAAAATCACGCACTTAGAAGGGTCCTAAAAATTTTTTAAATACACCACAATTTTTATTAGCCATTGTAGTTTACAAATCCGTAATGATTTTTATTTTTTGATTTTTATAATAAAACTCAAAAAATAACTGTTATTTTTTGATTTTTATGAATAACAGTTATTCCCTTGACATTTTTGAAAAAATGAAATAATTAAAAAAAACAATACCCGTGCTTTTTATATCTTACTAAAAATTTTTTAAAAAAGGCAACCGCGCATATTTTATACCTATATTTTTTTAAAATTTTGTTTACCCACAAAATCGCCATAAATTAAGTTTGAGTTTTATTTTGATCACGACGAATAACTGTTATTTGTCAACTTTTATTATAAAACTCAAAAAATAACAGTTATTCTTTGAGTTTTACTTTACAAATCAGAAAATAACTGTTAAAGTGTGATTTTTAAAATATAACTTATAACAGTTACGTTCCCTGCATATAACATTAATTTCTCTTGTAAAACTTACATGTTGTATTTAAAACGCCTTTTCCGCCCTTGGTACGTTGCATTAAAGCTGTACTGGATCATCTTATTTGCTGAGTTGGGACAGGTATTGCCAAAAGAACCTAGGTAAAGATAAAAGGTAACGGTATATTATTTTATTAAGTTGACAACTTCACTTAAAATTTACATAAAAAATTTTAGATTATTTTAATACGAATTTAAAAAAAATTGAAATACTCACCGTTTAAAGTCTGCAACTGAATTGACCTTCAAAATGAAAATCAGTTGACAGGAAAAACAAAAACACGCTTCTTCAAAGTTCGTTAAATTAATAAAAATAAAATAAATTTTAGATGATCACCGTTCGAAGTCTGGAACTGAACTGACCTGCACCATGCAAATGACTTGACAGGAAAACAACTAGGTCTCTTAAAACAATTAATTTTTAATCCAGGCCTCCTTAGTTATTTTGTTTTTCTTCAAGCAAAGGGAACTTCGTTAAACTATTCAAGTTATGGTTTATATCTTTATTTATTAATATCACTGCACAAATACAACAACAACAGCAACACACGCACACACACAGACACAGATTTGGGATCCCTTTGGTGCCGAAGACCCCGCGAATTCTTCAGACTCAGCCAGAACCGCTGCTCATTAATCCCTGCTTTGGCAGCAGAAGAAGAGGAAGTTCCAGAGCAGCGTGGTCGCGCCGTACAGAGCGCCGGCGAGTCCCACGGTGGCCTGGAAGGAGTACCGCTCCACCACCCAGTGGGCCAAAGCACCCCACAGGAGGACGAGCAGGCCGTTGGTGAAGTGCACCGGTCGCCGGATGGCCGTCCAATTGGCCCGCGTCATGCCCATTTGGAAGACGAGCTCCTGCAGAAAGGCCGTGACCACCTGGCCAAAGCCCAGGAGCACCGCGGACACGCTGAGCAGCAGCTTCGATGTGGAGAAGCTGATGACTGATTGTGAGAGAGGGAAAAATGGGTTATTCTGGTGGAGGATTATTCTCACAGGACTCACAGATCAGAGCCAGGCACTTGCAGAGGCTGCCCAGCGTGTGCCACTGGATCTTGCGCTTGTAGAGACTCGTCCCGAAGCGCGGCGTCATCAGGGAGAAGCACATCCAGGGGAAGGCCAGCAGGGAGAAGAGGAAGGGGATCTCGGCGTTCTTCAGCGCATGGTGGCTGACCGCCAGTCCGGGCAGCACGGTGAGGCACATCACGTAGCTGAAGATGTCCGCCGAGAGGAGCAGCGTGGTGGCGTACAGCTGCGGCACCAGCAGCGCCTGCTGCAGCGGCATGGCGATCTTGTCCAGCAGGTTCCACCACAGGTGCGAGGTCACCGCCCGCGACATACGCCGGATGCGGCGCTATAAAAATGGTGGAAAGAGTTAAAAAATAGGGTCTAGACTTTTTGCAAAAATGGCAAAAATTAAAAATTTCCAGGTTTGAATGCCAATCGATTGGGGATTTTATTACGAGTTCAGCGAGGTATGGCATTCGATATTTGGATTATTATTTCAATTTTTATGATCAAAATCAGAACTTTGATTTTCGGTGCAAATTTGAAATTTTTCTTAATCGATTTTTTTCTATAACTTGGTCAAAAATGGTCCCAAATCAAAAAGGCGTACTGTTTTGAGCAGCTAACAACATAATAATTACACCCGTAAACTTTCTGTCTGATTAAAAAAAAATAAATATTTGACCCAATTTTCACATTTTTGATAAGGGGTAACATCATATTTTTTTGCGAAAATTGGCAAAAATTAAAAACTTCCAGGTTTGAATGCCAATTGATAGGGGATTTTATTACGAGTTCAACGAGGTATGGCACTCGATATTTAGATCATTACTTTAATTGTTATGAGCAAAATACTATTATTGTTTGGGTGGAAAATGAGGATCTTGATTTTTGGATCATTATTATAATTTTGATAACCAAAATACTAAATAATATTGCCCTATATCAACTCTAAAGAAGCCCTATACAAAATTCAAATAATAATCATCTCTAAAGAGCCGTGTACAAATTTCAAACAATTTGTTAGCGGTGACTACTCTGCCCTTTAATAATTTCCCACTAAAATAAGGTAACCCTGACAACAAGGACTCACCAGATTAGCATAGTCGGGTGGCAGTGGCGAGGAGCTGCCAGTTCCCAGTCCCGTTCCCGTTCCCGTTCCCAAACCCATTCCCAGGCTGGAGATCTGGGGCGTCAACGGATAGAGGCGTCCATTCGAGAGCGACTTGTGCGAGGTTTGCGAGGCGGACATCGCGTAGTTGTCGATGGTCGCATTGCTCGACCGCATCATGGACACCGTCTCGTCCTCCTCAGGTATGATCTCCATGATCTCCACTCCATTGGGATTCACATAGGTCACATAGGCCTCGTCGGTGGCCAGCATGTAGTTGCTGTGCGTGTCCACCACGGCGGCGGCAACGACGGCACTCGGAGTGGTGGCCATTTCGCTGGTGGTCGCCGGATTCCGCCACGACAGCGCCGTGTCCAGGCCGTCCAGTTGGTCCGCCACCAGATTGGCGGCCAAAGCGGCACGCAGGGGAAGCGCCGCGAATCCCGTCTCCGCCTTGATCACCGATATCCGTTTCGTGGTGAAGGCATCCTCGCGATGCTTCGTGATGATCAGGCTCAGCGGTATGAGATTCACCAGCAGGGCGGACATCAGCACGATGGACTGGGCAGTGCCGTACAGCGTTCGCAAACTGGTGAAGACGAACGAGAGGAACAGCTGGCAGAAGGCCTCGCCGCACAGGTGGATCGTCTTGCGCACGTACTTGTCCTCCCGCGGACGCACTGCCTCCAGGATCACGTGCGTCTTCCACAGGTACAGGCTGGAGCCGATGCCTAGGTGAAAATAGGGGTTAAAATTATTATTAAATATATTATTAAATATCAACCTTATTAATCAATCTTTGGTTACATAGAAATTTTTATAATAACATTATTTAATTTTATATTCTTTAATTTACTATTCAATTAAATATTTTCATAAATTGAATATAAAATATTTGCATTAATAGAATTGGTAGAATTTAATTCTAAATATAGGTCATATTAAATACCAACCTTATTAATCAAACTTTGATGTATTATATTAATAAATATTTTAATCACATTATTTAGTTTTATATCAAAATCAAAGATATAAATTCCTTAATTAACTATAATTTTTAATTGTATATCTATAAATTTAATATGAAATGTATGGATTTAATACTTATTTTTTTTTTTACTTTCAAATGGAAAATATTCCAGTAAAATTTAATTAATAAACATTATTTTTATCTAATTAAACGTATGCTTTTTTATAGAATTTCTCCCCAGCAATATCATGAAACTCTGAGCAAGAGAATGCGTATACGTGATATATTGCGTATACGAAGAGTTGGCTATTAACAGAATGTAGCTGCTGCTTTATCTTGAGTTAAAAAAAATATATACTACAAAATAAAAGGAACATTAATGTTCAACCATAATATTATACATAGACACAACTGTACGAATTACAAGACTCTCTTTTTTGCAGCTTGGCGCCCTTTTGTTTTGAGAGATTAAAGATTACAGATCACAGATGATTAAGATGATTCCCATACCCCCCACTCACCCGCAAAGCAGCCGTAGAAGACAATGGCCACCACCTGGGTGGTGGTGGTGACCACGATCCAGGCGGAGGAGAACAGTATCCCGCTGACCATCAGCGAGACGCAGGCGATGAGGGTGGCCAGCAGGAAGACCCTCCTGTACTGGGTGGTCTCCCTTGACCTCCCACTGTACTCTGTGTCCAAATGCTCCATTATCGAGCGGCACAGCTCCCCGGTGGCCTGGTAGACGATCGCCGGCCAGATCCTCAGCACCAGATCCTTGTCCGACTCCACCACATTGCCGTACAGATAGGCGGGCGTGGCCAGGAAAGCCTGCGGAGATGATCTTTACTAATCTCTGGAATGTATATATATATATATAGCACTATAGCGATTCGATTTACGTGTATGGCAAAGCCGCAGAGCATGTACTTCTGTTGAATGTGCTTCTTGACCACCCTGCGTCTCTGGATTCCAGCGGTGGCTCTGGCGGTTGGTCGTCGCACTGGACTCGGGGCAGCCATCGCAGAGGTTGCCATATATATATATATATATATATATCCGATTTGGATTACAGATCTATAGATTTATCCGTCCGTTTATCCGTTCGCTGGGCACTGGGAATTTTTGTGTGCGCTCCGTCTAGCCGCTGGCATTCATCATTCACCGAAACCCGAAACCTGAAACCAAAGCCAAAACCCCAGCGTTTAGATAACGTGCATATACATATGGATATACACCGGAGACACGGAGACTCGGGAGACTCGGAGAATCGGAGAGTTGGAGAGGCAGGCTGATAAGATCGGGGCTCTGGGGGCTCTTATCACGATATGCCAGATATATAGATATATATGCCAGAGATATCTGTGTCCACACACTGCACAAGTGTATCTGCGCAGCTGCGTATCTCTGTATCCGTGTATCCGTGAGATTAACGTCAGATATGTAAAGCGTTTGCCTGCAATTCAGTCACCACATTTGAGCGGCGGCATCAGCGCTGGATTATGTTTATGGCCACCAGTTGGAGCAGATAAATGGTAAGGGTAATGGGTAGTGGGTAGTGGGCATTGGGTACTCTCCAGATCCCCAGACACCTGGTGGGTCACCAAAGTTGGTGACCCTTCTTCTCACTATCCATTTGGTCAAAAAGAGTTCTTATCACTTATCAACACTCACTCACTCTCAGTGACCATTAACCTAGAAATGTGCCAAATAGGTGACCCAAAACTAACATTTTAAAATCTTCCCATTACTCCTTTTGGTCAAAAAGAGTTATTATCACCAATAAATATTTATTCTCACCCAGTTTTAAACACTCCTGCACTTGGTGACCTTTAACCTAGATATATGCCAAAAAGGTGACCCAAAACCACCACTTTAGAATCCATCAATATCAATTAGAAAGGTTTTTCAAAAAGGTGACCCCAAACTACACTTTTAGAAGCCTTAACTTGACCCATCAAATCCCCGACTTTGTTTAGGTTTATTATTAGGCTTTAAAGAAAAGGTGACCCAGAATTTTACACAACTAGACCAATTGAATCCGGATTTCTCACTCTTTGCAATCTAATGATTACCATTGCATTTCATTGTTAGTTTTTGACTAATGTTTTATTGTAGACGACTTCATTGGAATGCCCTATAAAAATGTTTATAAACATATTATATTATTATTATGTGATTCCAAACTGTTATGTTTAAGCATGGCAGAAAGGTGACTCATAGCTTTATTCCGTAGAACGAAAATTAAAAAATTCAAAAGAAACAATGATATGCATATATGAAGATAAGGTGTGAACATGCGATTAGGTTGTATATCATTAGGTATCGCGAAGCATTAACTCTAAATGTAGAGAAAATTCCCTAAAAAGTATGTATTGCAGTGTAAAAAACCCTTTAAAATATTGTAAAACACTGAAGATTCTCTGCGCAGTAAAGAATGGATCGAATGTCATCTATTTACCATGCCAAAGTTTTGGATGCGTCACAGTCTTTGTTTTGTTGTGGGTCTCCAGGGTCCAAAATGCACTGGAAAGATCGGCAAAAACAAAAAGCAGTAGCGCCGAAAGAAAAACACCGGACAAACAGATTTATCTGACCTCCGAGATCCGAGATTTACCCATCCGAGTTATCTTTACAGACTTCCGTTTCACATCCGCGCAGTATGTGCATATGTATCTATATCTCAGTGGCAGTAGCCCAACTTTACGGGTTTTACAACTGTATTTTGCAACCCCAAACGAAAAAAGAGGCCCTCTAGCGACGTCAGAGCAGGGCAAAATTTTATTTGCATCATATACGGAACGTCTATCTATCAGATACAGATACAGATACAGAGATGTGATGCTAAGGTGCTAAGCCCGATAAGACCGAGCATCCCGGCCAGATCGGGCTATATAATCTTGGGCCTTCTCGGCCAGCAGCTCACACAACGATCGACCGACGTTAGCCACTGGCGACGAAAACGATGACATCCTTTAGAAGCAGCACAATTTCAACTTCAACTTCAACTTTAAATTCAACCACCACGTTCACGGTGCGCAAGATGACGGGCAGACGAATCTCCAAGCTGTCGAGCATCCTGCTGCTCTGCGCCGCTTTGGTAAGTTTTAGCCGGAAGCCGAGGGATTCTGATTCCTGACCATTCCTGACTAACTTCCAGCTGCTGACCAAGTCCTGCGGCATCCTGGCGCTGAGCGGAGACGCCAATTCCAATGACCTGGCCAAGGCGGAGCCCTGGAGCGACACCACTACCATTCAGCAAAGTGATGAGGAGTCCACCACTTCCGGTTCGGGTTCAGGGGACTGGGAATTGACCACAGAGGCGGAGGAAACCACTACACCTTCCGATGAGGAGGAGACCACTTCACCTTCCGATGAGGAGGAGACCACTTCACCTTCCGATGAGGAGAGCACTACCAACGCCGACCAGGAGAGCTCCTCCACTGGCGCCTCTGGCGATGGAGAGACCACCACTGCTGTTCCGGAAACCTCACCAGCTGCTCCCGAGGAAACTTCAGCTGCTCCCGAGGAAACTTCCGCTGCTCCTGAGGAAACTTCTCCCGCTCCCGAGGAAACAACCACTGGAGAACCAGAGAGTTCCAGTTCCTCCTCCGCCCCAGCAGAGCCAGAGAGCTCCTCCACCTCCAGTTCCTCCTCCTCTATCCCAGCTGAGACCACCATTGCACCCACCCCGCCCACCTTCAAGTGCCAGACAGCTGGATTGTTTCCCCACATCGGCGGCGAGTGCCGGCGCTACCACAACTGCCTGCTGAACCCCGTGCTCCAGCAGCTCCAGGAGATCGAGCTCATCTGCCCCGAACGCACCGTCTTCTCGCCGAGCTTAAGCAGATGTGCTAGGGATCTGGCCGAGTGCCAGGAGGATGGCTTCCAGTGCTTGGCCGTGGGCAGATTTGCGGGACACGATGAGACCTACTACTATAGCTGTGTGGCCAGTCTGCAGGGCGGCTTCCACAAGTTCATTGTCCGCTGCTCCAGTGGCCAGAGATTCGAGGCGCTGATCGGAGGATGCTGGCGCTACGATTGGACGCAGATTGTGCCCGGTCAGGAGGCGACTGAGGTCAGCGATCTGGCGGCCATCAAGCGGGAACTGAAGCTCTACAAGGCCGAGGCCAAGCTGCGCCTGAAGGCCCAGAAGGAGCAGGAGAAGCTGGCCAAGAAGCAGCAGAAGCTGGAGGAGAAGGCCGCCAAGAAGGCGGCCAAGGAGCAGGCCAAGCAGCAGGCGAAGGCCGAGAAGGAGAAGGAGAAGGCGCAGGCCAAGGGTCCCGAGTCCATCGAGAGCGCCGAGTCCGCGGAGTAACTAGCTCCGATCTGAGATCCAAGATCCTCCTCTCCATTCCCCAGATGAGGAGAAACCCATCCATCTATGTTGGTCCATTGCTCTAGTCTAGTGAAATTATCTCTTTGTTAACCCTTTTTTTTGCTTTGTGGTGTAAATAAAGATTTGAAACGAAATTATGGAAATTTTTTATTTATTTATTACATTTTTTTTTTTTTTTTTAAGGAAGTCAATGCAACTAGACATTTCTTAAATAATGTGTGTATAACCTTTATAAACTAAATAAAGATTTAAAACGAAATTATTTAAATGTGTTTATTTATTTATATATTTTTTTTTTTTTTTAACGCAATAAATGAAACTAGGCCTTTCTAAAAGAATGTGTTTATAACCTTCCCATGAGGTTAAGGCTTTTTATATAAATAAAATTAAATAAAATAAAATAAAATATAATATTGCATTGCTTTATGGTATGTGTGGACAGGTGTGAAATCTTTCTAAGGAGAAAGGCTAGTCTTGATAAGCTTTCCAAGTTTTTCGTTTCTCTACTTCTACCCTTAGATACTAGTGACTTTATCTGTACTAAGCTAATTAATTGCTTTGTTTTTCCGGAGCTTAAACTATAAATAGAGAGGAAAAAGTAAATAAGTGCTAAACTTTTCAACACAACTTGTTTTTTGTTGTTCCCGAAATGAGAGAAATATTCCATACCTACCTACCTATTTATCATCTAGCTATTTATATAAATAATCAAGTGAAGGAAAGAAGACTTGTCAACAGGAGCTTGGTGTTCTTATATGTATTTATTTATTAATATTTATTTATTATTAATTTGTAATATTTCAGAAATATATTTTTTACTAAAAAGAGATGACATTTGGGCTTCTCAAGACTCCGGAAAAAGTCCCTAGTTTGGGAATTTCCACTGTGCTGCAGATACGTTTCCTCAAGGGCACACTAAATGTATTATATTGATCACTTAGTCACACACAGCCAGACTTTTTGGCCACTACTATCGACGGTGGTGCGTTGTGGTCACCTAACCACTTTATCAGCTAATCACTGGGCAATCTGGAAGATTGCCGCCGTCACCTTTTGGGCCTCTCGGCTATAAAAGAGCCACACCGATTGTCCGGCCAGTTAGTCCGTCGAACCAATTAGCCAAAATCAAAGCCCGAAACGAAAACGAAATGTTCAAGCTATCGTTGCTAGTGGGCCTGGCCCTGATCCTGGCTCCTTCCATCACCCAGGCCAAGTCCCTGTGCCGCCAGAGCGGCTACTTCACCCTTGTGGATAACACGCCGCACTTCTACGCCTGCCAGTCCACCGGTGTCCGAGGTGACTTCTCCGTGCGCCACCTGCGCTGCCCCGCCGGTCTGGTCTTCAGCTCCTCGGTGGCCCAGTGCATCCCGTCGATCGCCGCTTTTGAGGCCCGTGAGGATAGCAACATCGAGAACCCCACCATTCCGCCACTGCCACCCAGCAATCTGGATGAGAGCACTAGTGAGGCTCCTGTAACCACTGGAAAACCCGCCACTGAGGCTCCTGCACCCACTGAAGCTCCCGGAACCACTGAAAAGCCAGCTACTGAAGCTCCCGGAACCACTGAGAAACCAGCTACTGAGGCTCCCGGAACCACTGAAAAACCAGCCACTGAAGCTCCCGGAACCACTGAAAAACCAGCCACTGAGGCTCCCGGAACCACTGAAAAACCAGCCACCGAGGCTCCTGGAACCACTATAAAGCCAGCTACTGAGGCTCCCGAAACCACTGAGAAACCAGCCACTGACGAACCTGTCACCGATGACCCTGCCACCGAAGAGCCTGCCACTGATGAACCTGTCACCGATACCGATGAACCTGTCACCGATGAGCCCGTCACCGATGAGCCGAGTAGCAATGCCACCGATGACGGTGACGTCACCGAAACCACCGCAGAGCCCCACAAGTGCGCCACCACCGGATTCTTCCCGTCGGACGAGAGCTGCACGAACTATGTCCTCTGCAGCTATGCAAATGGCGAGGACCTCAAGCCGTTCACCATGAAGTGTCCTCAAGGCATGCAGTTCGATCCTGTCAATAGCTGCTGTGACAAGAATTTCGACTGCCTGGCTTAAAAATCAGGATGCCAGTCGAGGATTGGTTGGCTGAGAACGATGAGAAGCAATAAAACCAGTCATTGCAACCATTTAACCAAGCTGTAGCTTTTATTTACTTTATAGCTTCCACCTTTTTTTTCCCAATGTGATTACTTTTTTTTTCTTTGTGAAGTGAATAAATTCTAGTTTAATTATTATTAATTTATTTCAAATCATATCTGGCATCTTGATGGGTTGTCAAGTGGTTGCCCATGACGGCAATATCAATTTCTATTCCAATTTCATTGGCATTATCCATCAAGGCGATAAGAAGGGAGTCCATTAGGGTTCTGCTATCTAATCGCTTGACCAGTTCTCGAGTGACAAATTAGCCTCGCAAAGATGTCCCCTAATCGATTTCCCGATCACAAAGCAACCCTGTAAATTGGAGTTCTGAACTTGAAATCGAACTATTAAAAAATAATAAATAAATTGATTTAATAATATTCCTAGAAAATGTTTCAACTTTTATCTTTTCTGAAATTAAGGTTGAGTAACTTTTTCAGGAGAGCTGTTTTTTACCTTTTCCTTAATAATAAAAAATAAAAATCAATTAGTGGCCTCTAGCATTTCCTGGAATATTATCTTATCTCTCCCTTGCTGATTGATCTTGCCCTGTATTAAACTAATAAGTCATTGATTGATTTATTACCTTTTGTCCTGTTGTTGCTTTCAAATAATTGCTTTTATTTTACCTGTCTTTCATATGTTATTCCTCTAAACTATAAGATCGTAAGTTAAAAACCGAACGTAGGTAGGCCTTTTTAATCAACCAAGAATTCCCCGAATATTATCTAATCGTTGTCAAATGAAAATAAATAATTACTACTTATTTTCCCTTTTATGACTTGATTTATTAATGACTTTTTAGCAGTTGAGTGAGAATTTGTAAGAATTAGTTACTCAGAAAATGAATTTGTGTGCATAGAATATCTTTTAGTGATGTTTATTATATATTTTGTATTTATTCCTCCGTAATAACCAATCTTTCCTATAAAGTCGCCTTATGCACGCCATTCGAACCAACATTCAGTCACGTGCCGTTGTCTTCACAGCGATAATGAATGAAAACAGCCGAGTTATCTTGGAGGTTCCGTGCTCTGGTCGGTGGTTTTTATTCAGTGGGTGGTGGATGGTGGATGGTGGCGAGTGGCTTAATAAACTTCCGCATGGCGGAGCACGGGTCAAGCTGGGAACTATGGGTATGGGTTAGTGGGGGATGGATGGATAGCTTGGGATCTGCAATGAATGCGATAAATGTTCAAATGGGCAACGGGCAATGGATTCCCAAATGAGTGAAAGTCTCTCACCATCGGGCGCCATCGCAATGGCATTTGGGGTTCGGTCCGCTGGCCGGGAGGTTGCATAAAAAAGACTCCGGAGCATCGAATCGGCGACACCGCTTCGTTGGACAATTGCGCATGCGCGTAGCTCGTTAAAATGCCTTTATTTCTTCCACCGCGGCGACAATTAAAGCAGGCCAAAAACTCTGGGCCAAAATTCGCAGCTTTTTTAGCCAGTGCACACTGGGCCAGCCGATCAGATTTTTGGCCAAAAATACGTTTTTCTTTTTTAAGAAAATGACCAAATTGAGTTTGGGATCCTTTTTATAATACATTAAACTAATTTATGCCAAAGTTTCAAAGAATTCGGACAAGTAGTTTTCTTTTACCATATTTTCAAAGTGAAAAATTCATAAAATATTGATGGAAATGAAAAAAAATTTAGAAGTCAAAGATGCTGATGTTGCTGTTCGACTTCTTTCCGAAACTTGCAGAAGGGATTATTTTCAACAAATAAAAAATATAATATAGCTCGTATGTCTTACTTGTTTGCTAAAATAAATGTAATTGTTAATTTTTACGCTTTTTTTCAGCAAATGAGTACTTTGCTTTTCGAGTGCCTTCGAGTGCCATCCCCAAATTAGTTCATTCCTTCAAAAAAAAATCCGTTGATCAATTTACTAAAAGCGTAGCCCACCGACTCGATGCGGTTTTGCCTTAGTTTTCGGTAATTTAAGTTTTAATTGAAGGCTTAACTCGAAGTCGAGCTATTTTGAAGAGCTTAGCTAAGAGAGCCCAAGAGTATGCCATACTTTATTTCTTCAGGTTTTGGTGAACATTTTGCGCTCAAAAATTTGATTTTAGTGTGACTAACATCTAAAATCTACTTTTTACGTACACTATTCGATTATGGTATTTTCCAAACCTATATCTATCTATTTAATCAGGACTATGCAAATAAAAATGTTGCATACTTTTGTGATGACTTCAGAATATGTCAAATTAACATTAAACCAATCAAAAAACAATATTTTTAAACAATTTTTTTTACATAATTTGATTATATAAAACTTAAAAGGTAACAAGAACAAAAAAATAGAAATTTTTTTTAAATCGATTGTTTGATAAACGTTGATGTGGGAGCCTCCGAAAGTTGCACTTTTTAACGGTTCATAAATCTTAAATGACATTATATTTTTTAGTGATGTTAATTTTTTTTAGTTTGTTTTATCTCATACTTTATTGTTTTCGAAAATGGAAGAAGTGCGTCTTCTAGTTATTTTTTTAAAAATAAAAAACCGAAAAGTACGTAAAATTTTCCGACTTTGGTCTGGATTATCTATATCATATAAAATTCCAAGAAATTTTACTTTTAGTTCGTTGGAAAGTTCAATCTTTTAAGAAAAAAACGCAAAAAACTGCATCCTTCTAACTGTCCTAGGAAAGAAATTACAGATTTTTGGCCAAAAAATTAACTTTCTGGCCCAGTGTGCAGTGGCAGTAGTCCAGGCACGTACTCCTCTCCTCTCCACTCCTCTTCTCCCATCCAAATCGCAATCATAAAAGCCTGGATACGTGCATAGTGCCATTTGGCACACAAGTGTTTGCCATTTGGCCCTAAACGGTCATAGGCAAATGAATAGTTAACTCCGTTTGCAAACACGGAAAGAAAGCAGGATGATCTCTCAAATTTTAAGGGATCTATCAGGCTCCTTAAATTTTATTTTTTTTATTTCAAACTTTATTATTTAAAATTATAAAAAATTATAATGAAGAGTTTTGGGTTTTATTAACTCAATGTACAGCAAAACGTAAAAAAGTTAAAAAAATAAAACAAACAAAAAATAATGCTATGAAGATCTAAATGACCCTTTTTAAATATAAGTTGTTTTAATAGTTTAACTATATTTATACACTAAATACTCGTTGTATTGAAAATATACAAGATGTATTGTAAAGTGTGGTCTTAATATAATCCTAAAAATTATAAAGTCTTATCTCTGTAGTAACCTTGTACCAAATATTCTAAAGTTCTAGAATGGAAGTTAAATTTTCATACTTCCGAAGGTATTTATTTAATACTCATCTTATCAAGATATTATTAAAACTGAATAAATTAGAAATAAGTGTACGAATAGTTAGTTTCTGTTATAATTTTTTTTCCTGTGTGGTGTTATCTTTGAAATGGCATTTTCCTCTTGTCCAGTGCCTTGGACTGTTTTGCACAATTGACTTGGGAATCTGTCGATTGCCAACCGCAAATATTGACTTGTTGCACTTGTACTTTCTCGCAGTGCATATGCAGATAACGGCGATCGGGGTCAGTCACAGTATCTCTTTGCCAACTAAGTATCTTACCCATCCTGCATCTCGAACAGTGGATCGCTCTTGTTGACCGCATCCACATCCACATCCACTTTCATTTGTGCAAACTGGGCGAACAATCGACGCACCGACGACAAACATTTGCGTGCGAACTTTTTTTATTTGTTTTTTTTTTGGGATTTTTGGCTTGTGATTTTTGGACTTTTGGGTGGGGAGAAGAGTCAGCCCGCTTTTTTGATAAATGGCCAGATACAATTGTATCTCTATTTGAATGCTGGCCCAGACTCGTACTTGTTATGTCATTTGCACATTTACACGTTTTGTGTTTCTTAATTTTGTTTGTGTATTTTTTGTTTTATTATTTCTTTTACCTCATTTTGGGCCGAGTCGCCGCGTTGCCAGTCAAGATCAACATTTAAATGTTGTACAATTATGCGAGCCGAGGCCCATTAAGATTATATATGTGGCATCAGCGGCAGCAGCAGCTTCCTAGTAAAAGCCAAGCTTCAGTTGAGTAACTACCATAAGCGGCGTAATCATGATTTGGAAATTAAGAAAATTGTCAACGATGTAACGGGCTGTGGGTATATAGCATTTCGACCAATCTATCGATCTGCTAATGTTGCAAAACCCACCAGTAATTGAGGAAATCTTCATCGAATATTTGAGATGAGTCTGCAGAAAGAGGGAATTGTCACACTTAGTAGCAAAATGTCAAAAATCTATTAAATTGGGGGAGCTGAGTAACTAGGAAGCCTTGCACCTTGACTTTTCCGCCTCGAGTGTGGTTTTCAAAACTTAATTAAACCAACTAGACCTCTGGTTTTCCTCTAACTTAGTGTTTGTCAAAAAGGGTCACCAAATAAAATAATAAAACTCATTTTCATAACTGAAATTTGATACCTTGAACCATATTTTATTAATTTGTTGTACATTTAGTAATCGCGCTTGAAGCTCTAAAATAAAGTCCCAAGGGGTTTTTCATTTTATTGTCGTTATTAATAAGATATGTGTTTTCTTTGTAACTTGGCCAAAAATTGTGCCAAACAAATAATTGGAACTGTTTTGAACAGCTAGCAACGTAATAATTTAATATCTTTTACTTTTTGACTGATTAAGGAATTTTTGCCTTTTTTGATAATCGATTTTTTGCTGTATCTTGGTCAAAAATGGTCCCAAATCAAAGAGGCATGCTGTTTTGGGCAGCTAACAACCTCATAATTAATATCAGTAAACTTTCCGTCTGATTTAAAAAAATAAAAATGTTACCCAATTTTCACATTTTTAATAAGGGGTAACATCACAATTGTTTGCGAAAAATTGACAAAAATTAAAATTTCTAGGTTTGAACTCCAATCGATAGGGAATTAAATAACGAGCTCAACGAGGTATGACACTCCATTTTTGGACTTCAATTAGCTTCGTTTTGACTAAATTACTGATTTGGTGAAAATCAGGATCTAAATTTTTGTTGAAAATAGGTTTTTGTACATGATACACAATATACCCTTTTGTAAAAATATCTTGATAAATTCATTCATATTTTAGGGCTATCATAATCCAAATCTCTATTATTTTTGGCAGCCCCACACAAAAAATGTTTGTCAACGGGGCCGAAAAGTTTAATTGGCGGCGTGTCGCAAGAGGGCCCCGTGCCCGAGGCTCGAGTCGGGTTCCATTGGGGCCCCCAGATGAGATTAGATGAGTTGACCCTTGTGCCTGATTGGATGCTCCGCGGAGCATGGCTATCCCATCCTACAGTGCCTCAGCTCGGATCACAGATATTTGCAACATTTTGCATGTTGCCTTTGAGCGAATGCCGCTCACGTAGCGACGGCAGCAGCACGATCCAACTCTCACTCTCTCCCGCATTTTATCTCCAGCGGTACTGCTATACCGGTACTCTCTCTCCCGCTCAACCAGATGAACCGCCGATCGCGATCGCCTTACCTGCCGCATTTTCCAGCGGGCCGAGCTCAGTTCGTGGGCGCCTGCGCGCATGTGCAGTCAGAGTTTTTTCCATCGATCGTTCGTCGTCGGTTCTTTGCGGTTCCGAAATCCAGCCGGAGATATAAATATATATTCGGTGATATATGCGTGTGTACAGCATCCCTGCCTTTTTGGTGATAAAAGTGAAATTCAGTGCCCAAGAAGTTGCCAAAAAAATAAAAATAAAATCACAATCAAATTTTTTGTTTCGCTTTTTGTTCGAGTGCCGAGTGATTCAGTTCAATACAAAATCCCAGAAATTCGTAGGAATTTCACAGGTAGCCAGCGGATTTACCTAAACGCGCCGAGGATCAAGAACATCAATCAGGAGTAGGGTGATTTGTATTACCTAGAACTCATTTGTCAGAAATGGTGAGTGCAATTACCAAGAACTACTGGAACCACGACGAAGAATCGGGTTTACGAGCTCATCGCAGGGGTCTGGGTTCCCGTAGGTCAGGTTTTTAGCGAGGGAACCAGAGCGATTCTCGCTCCCCGGTGACTTTTCAGAATTTTTATGGCCACTTTGGAGATGGAGTTGGAGATTGTGCGATATTTGGGACTATAGAAAATATTATATTGCTCGCGGCTCGTTATCACTTTCGATATGGGAGAGAAAGAAGACAATGGAAAGGGAAATCAGCCTAGATGGCAACTAGAAATTTCTGGGAATATCTCTATTCGTTTATTTATGAGTTTTAGCTGTGTAATTAAATGGGAATATAAAGAACACCTATTGTTCAAATGGATTGAGATATTTCGTGCCCATTTCATTTAACTAAGTCATTGTAAACTATTCGAAAGAAAGATAGGCGTCGAAAAAGCCCTTAAAATGTTTAATTATATCTGTTTTGTAGTTCTTACTTTTGTTAAAAGGTAATATTTAGAAAAATTTTTTATTCATCTTTTAATATTTTTATTACAAATTGAAAACCTACAAATTTCGCTTATTCAACTACTAACTATTTTTAAAGGAAATACTTAAAAAAAGTATAGGTTTTAATTCTGTGTAATGAATGTAAGTAATAAATCTAAAATATAAATGCATTTTTTTAAAGTAAAATTGTAAAATTATAATCTTTGGTGTGCAAAAGATGTCCTTACTTTTTCTTTTCTAGAATTCATAATTAGATATTTCTAGAAATAATAATAATAAGAATATATATTAACTGGCTTAGCACTAAAATTATTACACATTATTTGTTTAAGTCCTGAGAAAAAATAGTACAAAACCAGAGAATAATTACAATACAATATTCACATTATCAGCCATTAGCCAATGACCATTGCGATTCCGCTCGACAGAGGCTGCAAATTGATCAATGATCGCGAACAAAGTAGGCAATTAATCAATCAGCTCGCTTTGATCTTTGGCCAGATCATTGAGCTAACTGAGTTGCCAAATTGATCGTGATGCCGGTGCTCCAATAAAATGGCGATTCATTGCCCATTGCCCTTTCCCATGGCCCCCAGATCATCGGATGGATTCAGGGGGTAATGGTCACCAATGATCTATGATCAGCTTACGCACCTTATTATCCGGCGATCTGATGGATCTACGATCTATACGGCATGCCGATCACGGATCAGAGATCGATTGCATAAGAGCCAGAAAACACATTATGCCTAAGTGTAAGTATTACACACATCCAATTGGGTGGCTCAGTTCAGTTCAGTTTCAGTTCAGGTGGGTAAAACGCGTAACAGGTGCGCCGAGTGCATTTCAATTGTAATTGTGGTGCGAAGCATTGTAATTGAAATCGAAAATCGAAAGAGAGTGTTTCGCTTTTGTCTTTCGGTTTTTTTAAATTTTTTGTCGGACGGGGAAACCACGCGAGATGCATGACGAATATACGATATATGCTCGAATATGGGTATTATATTGGGGGTACTTGCGTATGCCATATGCCACCACGTAATTGTAACAACAGACCCGAAATTTTGTGCAGAAATTGTATTGTCTTTAGGCACCCAAATATATCATAGCGATATCATACATTCATTGTACATACCAAAAGGCCGTGGCCATTCCCATTGTGTAATTGTTGAATTGCATTTTATGAGGCGGCACACACTTTTTATTCCTTAATTTTTTTGCCTTTATTTTTTGTTATTTTTATATTATTTTCTTTATTTTTTGTATGCCTGCATGCATCATAAAAACCAATAGGCAGCCAGGCATGGTCACTTAAGGGTTAAGGTGTCAATGACTGGTTAATGCGCTTCCCGCCATTACATAATCGCCATCGATGATGGCACCTTAATTCACCGAAGCCAACTGTCAACGCTTTAAGTAGATAGAGTAGATGGTAGATGGAAAAAAAAGAAATAGTTAGCGGGGCGTGAAAAAAGAGGGGCTCTAATTCACATAATTGCTGAATTCACGGCAAGTGCATTTCGGTCCTCAAAGGAGGAGGGCCCCATACAAAACGCATAGCAATCGTAAAACGCTTCAATTTGCACTCCTCCTCAAACCTCTAATTTCTCGGCTGTCGTGTTAAATGCATAGATACATTTCAATTAATTATGCATCGAGTTCATTAAAGAAGAGGTATTATAATTGGTTAGGGAGAGCATATGAAATATACATTTAAATAGTTAAATAGTTACATTTAAAAAGTTAAATAATTATAAAAAAACAAAATAAATAAAATAAAAAGAAAAAAATAAAAAATAAAATAATATATGTTATAATACATATTCCCCCTTGACCTTACTAAAACTGGGTTAAATTTGATTATATTATATTATATTATATTTATATTTATTTTCCAATTGATTCTAAATTGAATTTTTAGAAAGTTAAGATTAGGAGCAAGTTAAGATATTACCTTATAATATTTCTTGAATTTTTTTGCTTTTTTTTTCGTCCAATCAGTTTAGTTTTTTTTGCCAACTCACTTCCTCTTTGAATTGAAGAAAGTATATTTCTAGACTTCCGTTTTGGGGGCGACAAAAGAAATTGAAACCTTTTATATGCAAATTGCAATAAATCAGAAATGTACATTTCCCGAAGACAGATTTCCGATCTCAGCCCGCCCGCTCAATTGTATAATATAATAGATGGACAAACGAGAGCAGTTATGAGAAATACATATGAGATATATGATTAGCAGATTACGCATACGCCGTGTGTTACATGCGCAGCACAGTGGGCCAATTAAGCCAATGGCCCGGCAATTAACGAGCCGAACAGAAACAATATCTGTCTCTCGACCATAGCCACACTTAATTATAATTAAAAATATTATCTTTCGGCTTTGTGGGGCAGGGAAAAAATGAAATGTGAAATGGGTATAGTTTTGAAATAATCAGTTGCAATTTCACTTCAATTTCGAACAGCCCACGAAGAGTGTCGGATTATTTATGTGACACGCTGGTCTCAGCCTCCGACTTTCGTAATTGGAAGTAGACTTTTTTACTTCTTTTTTTTTCGGCCCAAGATGGGGTTTTCTTTCCCACAGCAATGGTGGTGTGTCTAGATTTCCCCCGCCCAGAGATCCATTTGCAGAACTTGCATAACGAAAAGCGAGAAAAGTGAGTAGACCAGTGAGAAAATGCATAGGTACACGGCTAAAAAAATAATAAATAAATAAAGGGAGGCGGCTAAAAGTCAAACACGACCTCTTTTTTTTTGGTTTTCCTCCAACTTGACCAACGTAACTTAATTGGCGTCACTTAGGAAAGCGAACGATCTTAATTACCGCATGGACCGAGAAAAAAAACAAGAAAAAAACAGGTGGGGGGGGGGTTGGTCAGGTGCTCGACTTTTTATGACCCCCCGCACCAACCAAAAAAAAAAAAAAAAGAAAATAAAGAGCTAAGAAAACTCGCTCAACACGCAGTTAAAAAACAAAGGAAAATGCCTAGAAACAAAAGTGAACTTCAAGTCTAAGACAACAATGAGAGCAACAGCAGCAACAACCACTTTTACTTTTGTTTTCATTCGAGCTAGTTTTTTTTCCTCAGTTCAGTTTATACCGCCGACTTCTTTCTTATTTGGCATTTTCAACAGCCAAGTTCAGCCGCGTCGGCGTCGCACAGTGGGTCAAGTTCTATAGAAAAGAGGAGTAAAATTGTTCAAAAGAAAATATTTTTTTTATGCATAAATGTAAAATCTTCTTCAAAAGTTTCTTTATTATTTTAATTTGTTTTTGTCATCAAACTTTTTATTCTCGAGTACTACAAGTATAAAAGGTGCCATTGAAAAATAATAATTTCTTTAAGAAAAAAAAAATTTTTTTTTAGGTTTTTTATACATTAGAATATTTGTTAAGGGAAAACAAAATTTTTTAGCAGATACAATAAATTTTTCAGTTTTATATTAAATGTTTTATCAAAGTTTATTAAGAATTCAGTGTTAAGAAATCATTTTTGATATAATACAAAGTACGCTCCACTGTGGCTCAATTGCCTGCTAACCCACAAGGCAGGTCGCTGGAATACCGGCCGTCTTCAACTCCAGCTCCCCGGATTCGGATTCCCCGATCCTCTAGAGCCGTGCAAAAAGTAAAGCAAACGCCAAGCCGGTCGAGCGGGCGGTCTACAAAGTCACAAAAAAATGGTGGGGGGATTGGGGTAGTTCAAGCAGACCGGACCGGTTCTATGGGATGGGTAAAAAAGGTTTCCAGGCGGAGTCAAGCTCACGTTGTCACACGACAATTACACGCAAGTGTTGAGAGTGAAGCGGCACGGCACGCCTCCTTTCCCTCCAGCCCCCTCCTCCCTGCCCCACGAATCTCGGAGCGCGTGTGAAAAGCGCATAATTTTTGGACGCGGACAAATTTTCACTTTTTTCCCGAGCATCTCCTCAGCGATTCAAGTTTTTCCACCTCGCCTCTCCTTCGTCGGCTCGCGTTTTCTTATTGTTTCAAAATGATCACACCGAATCGGAGCTAGCCCCTTATAGAAGGGGTCGGGATCTATGGGGGCTTAACCCTGTGGGTGGGTGAGTGGAGCGACAATGGAAAGAGGCAGCTGCAATAAAGTCCACAATGCGCCGATTATGCCAGCAATCTTGGGAATGGGTGTAGTTGGTATTATTATTATTATTATGCCGGGTCCCTATAGGTTTTTTACTCTATTTTTGCCTGGCGCTTCGTACTGAAATCTAATATGTGGGCGAAAAAAAGGGGGGGCTGTAACTGCACACATACTTATGTATCATCTAACCATATCACTGGCAACTTTGGACAATTATGGTTTTGTCTTACCTTCTGCTTTACTGCTTGATTTAAGATTGCCTTTGATAATTTATGAGCAATTTGTCATCTGTCTTTCATTCTTCGCACTTCGTTTGGTTTTGCAGTGGGTTTACGGTTCTAAAAAGAAAAAAATATATTGAAATGTATTTATGTTATAAAGTTGTCATT